CTGCATCCTATATATGGGGCCTTTTTCACTAGGACAAGTTTTATTTACATGAGCATTCAATGAGCAAATGTATTAAACTGTACACCTTGAACTTATTGATACTCACAAATAGACTTGTGTTGTATTGATTTCATAAAAGACTGGAAAAGCTAATACTCATTCCTTAAATTAATTCAGACTGTTTTTTTTTACTTTACTTTGAAACTATTCGGTCAACACTTATATACTTACTCAGTAAATGTTTGAGGAATACGGGACATGTCAGAATTAATCAAACTTGCATAATCCTCCATCTCCATATTTTCTTTGATGTATTTGTGTTCCTTTACAGCTGAAGCCATTTGTTGAAGTTTTTCTCCTTTTAAATTCTGTAATAAATATAATCAGCACTAAATATTATGGATTAAAATCATGAAGTATTCGAAATATTTCGAATATTAGAAGCAGGCATATCATCTGAATTTTGAGCTTAATTCACAATTGCAATGACTTGTAATCACTAAAAAGACGGTAATTTGTAATTGCAAAATTTACAAAACGGCTTTGATAAAATAAAGAATTTTTGGCTTTCTGCGGAAATATCACATATGATAAGGAAATGTTGATAGATTTTCTGTATATAAAACTAAACAAACAGATTAAAAAGATGTCCAGCGTTCATAATATGAAACAAATGACCCAAACTTTTCAAATTATCAATATGTATGGATCCTAAATGAAAAGCAAAGAATAAATTTCAGATTTTCAGTTTGGTAGTAAAATTCTTGAGAACTTTGTGGCTTAAATAATGCGAGTAATGTAACTGTTTTACATTTTAGGTTAAAATAAAGAGAAAGCCATCTCATGTCAATACAAGACCTAATACCATAGCTATAGTGTTGAACAAATCAACACACCATGAATTGACTTTGAGGTGTTTAATTGCATTTAACATCAATGCACTGGTTCCTGCAAGTTTGGAATTACAAAATGTCTGATTTGGGAAACAAGCAATATATGCTCTCTTATTTCAAACTAATTTCATAACTTTTTTCATTATTAAACATAGACATTCAACTAGAGTTCTAAAGTGATCCATATTCCTTTTTGATACGAAATATCATAACATTTTACAATTATTTTTCAAAAGTTACAGCTATGTGTAGGAACTTTTTTGTTTTAAATACTTGGTATGTTCCCTTTCCAGTACGTTCTTTCTGCTAGGGCCCTGGGTTAAGTCTCCTGAGGATACCTACATACAGGCGGTGCTAAAGCAGTTAGCTAACCAAAAGCAACAAAAGAACTTTCATTACCGGTAGATGCAGTGAATTCAGTTTTAAATCCAAGTGAAAATTCTATGAACACTTTAGGTATAAACTCTAACATATCTTGGTAGGATCCTAAAATTTATTTGAAATCATCAAATATAGACTGTAAAGTTAACTTTTATGATATTTAGAACTTTCTTTCATATGATATAGGGGGGACCAGCATGCCTGAGGAACGCCTTACCGATATTTCGGATTCATCAGGGGGGCAACTTGTTTTTTAATCGGGGCCTTTAAGACCGAATCTTGAATCCCTGTCTCTGTGTCAGTGGTCTAGGGTAAATTTGTCCATCATGTACAAATTGCTAAGCACAGGTGAACTGACACAGACACAGGTGCTGTATACAATTTTGTATACAATGCGATTTTACCACTTGGTGTTGTCTTGTGAATTTGTTTCAGTGCTGTTTTTTGATAGGGAATACCGGAGACTCCAAAAACAACACAATTTTAGGTGGGGCACTGACATACCTCATTTGCAGTCTGTGTACCTTCGGCCAAAAGCCATGTACACAAAACCTCAGGCATCTGGTCCACCTAAGTTTGCAAGTAAACAGCAGGATAATTTAAACTATACCCTCTCACTCTTCAGAAGGTATTGAAATTTTCAGAAAGTTTAATAGTGGAAAAGGTTGCGCATTACAAAGCTGTCGCTTTGCACATATTTGTGCCATCCAGGGGTGTGGGGCCCAACACCAATCCTTTGCCCATCCAAAAAAACGGGTATAAAGGTAAAGCCTGTGCGTCACCTAGATTATAATGTTTGGCAAGAAGATCTGAAAAATGATTTTGATAAAGCTTTTCTTTTGCATGGTATAAAAAATGGCTTTGACATTGTTCATAATAATTTGGCTTCACTGAACATATCAGCAAAAAATCACCCTTCAGCACATCCGTCAAGTCCTTTATATGAAAAAGCTCATCAACAGATTTTAACTGAAATTGAAAATGGGAATTATGAGTTTACTGAATCTACACCCAAAATTATCAGTCCTTTAGGTGTCATTCCAAAACCTGATGGAGGTGTAAGGATAATTCATGATTGCAGCAGACCCCTTGGGTCAGCTGTTAATGATTTTGCTGGGGATATGGAAAAATAAAAATTTCAATCTGTTGATGATGCAGCAAAATAAGTGACAAAAAATTGTTTCATGTCTAAAGTCGATTTGAAATCTGCTTACAGACCTGTTGGCATCATTCGCTGTAGTCAACAGGTAACAAGTTTACAATGGACTTTTCTTGATGGTCAAACACATACCTTTATCGGTAAAAAATTACCTTTTGGCTCAAAATTAGCACCTGGTATTTTCCATAGACTTTCACAGGCTATTCGCCGCATGATGTCATGCAGAGGCTTTACCGTAATAGCATATTTAGATGATTTTTTCATCTGCGAACGCACTAAACAGCGCTGTGCACATGGCCTAAGAGTCTTGATTTGACTTGCTGTGCGAGTTAGGCTTTGCAATGAGTTGGTCCAAGGTCTTCGACCCTTGCCAGAAGTTAGTATCTTTAGGTGTGTAGATTGACTCCACAACTTTAGAATTAAGAATACCTATGACATAACTAGAGCAGTTAAGGGCAGAATTAGCAGATTTTAAGCAGCGCAAGCATGTTTCAAAGAAACAATTGCAGTCCCTTGTGGGAAAACTAAATTGGGCTTCTTCAGTGGTTCATAGTGGAAGAGTTTTTCTTCAGAGAATCATTGATGGCATTATGAAGCTTAAGCATTACTGGCACAAAATGCGCTTATGCGGTGATATTTTGCATGATATCCATTGGTGGTACAATTTTATGTCCAGTTTTAATGGGAAATCCTTCTTACTAAACACTGATCCTGTCACCTCAGTATATACTGATGCTTGCAAAACAGGTGCAGGGGGTATTTTTGGTACAGATTGGTTTTATGTTAATTGGAGAGAGGATTTCAAATTTGCGCAATCTTTGCATATAAATGAGCAAGAGGCATTTGCTGTGGCCCTGGCGGCCAAACGATGGGCTAAGTGTTGGAAAAATAGGCGTGTATATATTTTTTGTGATCATTCATCAACTATAAGTTGTATTAATAAGTGTACCTCTAAGAACAAACTCTTGATGTCTTTTTTGCGTGAATTGTTTTGGCTTTCTGCTTCTTATAATTTTCATCTTGTGGCTATTCACTTGCCAGGCAAGGAGAATGATATGGCTGATGCCATTTCACGACTGCATGATTTAAAGTTATGTAAATTTTTTAGGAAGGAATGCTTACCAGCCCGTTGTTCGTGCATCACCTTGTTTCTCACATGTCCTGTCACTCCCTCCATTTTCTTTTATTTAGGCTTACAGGCACACAGAGAAGTGGCTAACTTGGACAATTTAGTAGACACCTTCAGGAGTTACACTTATGTTGAATCCACAAAAAAGACTTATCAGACTTATTTGAACTCTTACAGAAAATTTTGTGCACTAGCTAATTTTTCTTTAGTACCTTTAAGTAAAGAAAATCTAGCCAGATACATTGCATTTTTGTCACAAAAAATGTGCTTTAATTCTATCAGTAATTATATATCAATAATTACACTTTTACATTTGGAGGCAGGTCAACCATCTCCAATAGATTCTCATTATATTCATACAGTTTTGGGGGGTGGCTAAACGCGTATTAGGTACAATGGTTCAAAGAAAACTCCCTATCACACCCCAGCTTTTGAAAAAGATTTTAACTACCCTGGATCTTCAGAATCCATATCATATTAGTTTCCGGGCAGCCTGCTTGGGGTTGCCTTTTTCTCCTCTCTCGGAAAGTCAAATTTATTTGTCCCCACTTTGGCTGAATTTGATGCTGGTAAGCACCTCAGCCGACAAGACATTGTATTTCAGATTAGCGGCACATTGCTTCGCATACGAAAGTCAAAGACCATACAGTTTGCCAACAGGTTGTTGGAAATTCCACTTCCCAGAATCCTCAATTCCCCTCTTTGTCCTTCACAAGCACTGCTATTACATGTTAAAATGATACCAGCTATCAGCTGTCCATCTCCTGCCTTCTTACACACATCTAAGGGGACAACAGTTCCTTTAACCTATTCCACTTTTCTTCAAATGCTTAAGCATTCTTTATCCCAACTTAAATTGAACACCAGTGGCTACTCTGGTCATAGCTTTCAAAGGTGTGGGGCTACGTTTGCTTTGGAATGTGGAGTTTCGTCTGACCTCATCCAGGCTCAGGGGAACTGGAAAAGTGAGGCATACAAAGGTTACTTAGACCCTTCCTTTTCTCATATAAAGCAAGTCATGAATGCCTTTGTTTCAGCCCTAAGTCAATAGAGTCCTTCTGATGCATGAACCTAATTTACTACTTTGACACCGGTTTGGGATTATTTTGAAGTACCACAGTGTTTCAACTTTGCTTTCTTTGTAAATATGTTTATTGCTTATTGATATACAAAGAAAATATTAAACTGTGATTCTTCTCCCAAACCTGTGTTTGTTCAGTTTATACTTTTATACAATAACCAGTTGGCATATGTCTTGGTCCCTTTACTTAACTCTGATTAGTGTAAATCAAGTGCCTTTATCTGCACTGTTACTCTTCAGCATTTGGTTTGGGCACCAAAGGAATAGCCACCTGGTTATTGGTACCACTGGCCTTATTCATCAACATCAAATAAGGGAGGATCTGGGCGGGACAAGTTTTGTGGATTAATCTTAATTTTAAACACAGCAAACCTTTAAATATGTGTCCATTTCAATACATTTTTCTATCTTTGCCAGAACTTCATAATGAGCTGTTCCTGGTCCAGCTCGTATAATGGCCAAATAGAGATCAAACAAACAGTCCTGACAATCTGTTTTTGATAATTTCTCATTCTCAACACCATTGCTAAAAAAATCAACATAAAAGTTTATAACTGTAAATCAAGCAGCAGCAAATATTTCAAAATGACCCAAATACATTCTTCTTAAAACTTTGCAAGTCTGCTTTTTCCTTCTTGATTATAATACTCTAATTAAAATAAACAGCTGTTGCATTGGTTTTTTCCATTGTTCAAAATAGTGTATCTCTCGACCTTTATGTTGCCAAATTTTAAAGCTATCAATACATTTTGCCTTTCAATCACAAAAAGACAAGACACAAAGTTCAAATTAGAGTACTTGCAGTTACTGAAAACTAGTTTAAAGCCCAATATCAACTAATCAGTAAACAAATTGTTTTTTCATACAAAAATATCAAGCAGTAAACCTCCAAAATATTTAGTGTAAAGACCTCATATATGCAGGCTAAGATTCTTTAACATGTTTTGTGAACTTTTCTTCAAATATTTTTGAAATGCCATGCTAATAGGAAAAACTTATCTCGAAGTCAGTTCTTACATTTCATGTCAGTTGTTATTTTTTCGTGGGATTGCCTAGTCCAACTAAATACAGAACATCTTTTAAAATTAAAACTCAAGGTTGTTGGAATTCTCACTGCCTTTGCCTTCACTTGTCATGCAAAAAATCTCTAAACTTTATAACCCATCAATCACTTTTTGGTGAAATAGGAAATCAAGACAATATTTATTTTGCCTTCTAAAATAGCTAATAATCCATGTCCAGCATACTTTAATAAACTCCTGCCATCCTTGAATATTTTTTTCCCTGCTTCTCTAAAGTTTTGTTAGGATTAATTTAAGACAAGGTATATGCAAAATTCTAATTTTCGTGCCATCTCAAAATTTTGAACAATAAGCCACCAACCTAGTTCTTGATCAGCAAAAGCCATTTCAATGTTTTACATGCAGGACTTTATCAAGGTTGTATTATGTTAAAACTATATCTTTTCAGATAATTATTAAATATACTCCACTATTCACTGCCCCAGTCTTATAAAAAATTAACTATTTGTTTTAGTAGGGGGCAAAAGAAAGTTAAAGAAATGATAGAATGTTTTGTTCTAGCTAACATACTCACTCTATAAGATCACAGAGATGCCGGCAAGTCATGGTGGCCATATAACAACCAGGAGAACCTCTGGGTACTTTCTTAACATATTCCTCCAAACAAATCTTCTTGATGAAGATATTTATGATGTTTTTAATGTCTGATATCTTTATCGTTTCCCCTATTTCATCTATGTCAAGGTCATGAAGTTCATCTTGAATAGCAGATTCAGCATCATCATTACCATTGGCATAATCATACTTTGATATTATTTTTTCCATCTTGATTTAGTAAGTTTTAAATGCTGAAAATGAAAAAAAAAATGGATGATCATGCAACTGTCTTAAATGCACTTATATTGAGTTCACCATTTATATAGGTTAGATGGTTTTACAGGTTGTTAGTCAATTCAGAACCTCATATGGAAAATTCATTTAATTTTAATAAAGTCAGACATGAAATTATTATCTGTGGTATAAACATTATGAAAAGTAAATAATTGATAACACCACCAACAATGAAATCTTGTTCCATATTGCACCATGCTGTACAACCCAGTTGCTATTTTGATATAAACATAGGAAAATTTAATAATTAATATATTTATTGATTTTTGTCTCTACATTATACTTTTAAGTAATATTGCATTGATAAAATAAAAAAGAATACAAATCAAGGCAAATTAATTAAACCTATTCCACCTCTATCTGAGTTAATTATTATTAAAACAGCTATTTAGAACTTAATTTACATGTCCTATGCTAATATCTTATCAATAAACATATTTATGAAGTGAAACCAATAAAATAAAGCTTTCAAGATCATATTGATTGATTTAAATAAAGTACACTGCTATAATGTACCTGAGAATAAATTGATCTATTTTTAAACCTTACTATGAGAATCTTGAATACCTTGATGCATTACAACAACTGTATAATAAACAGAATATTTTACTTACCTGTTCTAAATCAATTCTCTCAGTTAATCATATATCCTTAATTATTTCTGTAAATAACTAAAATGATCTTATTGCATGCCATAGCAGAAAAAAATGGTCCATAATCTGAAATGAAAAAAAGTCTGTCAACTTTAAAATGTCTATAAGAGTTCAATAAATAGATCATTGACAGATTCTTAACTAAATTGCAGCAATACAGAATAGCAGCAATTCTAATACTTTATGCTGTTTTAAACTGTGGGGACAGAAACATGTTTATATGTATTTATTAATCAAAGAGTTAATACTTTATATGGAGGTATTGGTCTTAAAAGATCACATCAGTTCTTTTGTAGTTGAGAAAAGAATCTGTCTATTTGCTTTATGTTTAAAATATAAATTTAAATAGTTTGGTCATGAATAGGGGTAAAATAGTGGTTTTTATTTATGGACTGAGCTTAAATCTCCTTAACTGTGCCTTTCTATTTGTTTGTTCATTATCATTAGTGTGCAAGTAGATGATTTACCTGAAGTTACTAAAATATAAAATGCTAATTACCAAGCTGAAAACAAATGCCAAAACTGGATGGATATTTCATTCCTACTGCTAGCTTTAGGAGAATAAAAACTACTAATTCCAGAAAAGTACTAGCTAGTATGTCAATACAACAAACCTCATAAATATTCATGTAGTCACTGCATGCCATCAATATTTCTTACTCACAAATGTTTTTTCAAATTAAATGTTTTCATCATGTTTTAAAAAAAAAAATCAATTCTAGGCTATTGGTTTACCAGTTATCTTTGGTATATATATTTCTGTAATTCTTAGTCCATTAATCCTTTTCCCGACCTCACCTGTTAGGTATTTTTATTTAATCAACATGTGGTTCGCTTGATCTCAGTTGTTCATTGGTCAAAATTTGATTATGATGTTAAATTTTCTTGCTTTCCTCTGAAATTCCTATTGTGATGTCATGAAAAAAGGCGACCATGCCTGATGACGACGGTATCTGGATGATTCGTTCCAACTCCAATTTGTACCAACCAATTCGTGCCAAGTTGCTTGGTCAATTCGTTCCAACTTTTAAAAGAACATTGTTTAACCATATGAACTATCAAAATTACATTATAATGTTTATTTTAGTGCTATTAGTAAACATGATATATAAAATGTATATAATATAAATATTTATTCAAAATTTATTTCTATGGTTTATTCTGGAAATGATATATTGACCAAGTATATACTATTTATCTAAGCAGATATTTCATGACAGCTTAATATATTATAAAATAAAAACTACTAACTAGTTTTGTTTTCCAAGAAATAATTATTTTATCATAATTGCGTTTTTTATCACGTAACACTGTTGGTCATAATTCCTATTTTTTCTTCCTATTTTTCTAGGTCAACTTCATTAAAACCTATGAAAATTAAATTTTGTAACTTAAATATTATAAAGGCTTCAAAGTCGAAATATTTTTAAATTCCATCATGGAACCTTCTTGTGTTGTTTGCCATCGTTCTTAATGCATATATATAAGACAGATTATTTCAAATAATCATACAGGTTCACATCAGGAAAAACAAGGAAAACCGAAGAAAAAGGTATAACTAAATGTACAAATATACTTCACACAATTCTGTGTTTTCCAAAAAAAAAAAAAAATCTATTGCAAAACATAGTCTTACAAAAAATTACTTTTGCACTGGACACTGATCTATACTATAATATACGGAGGCATATACATTTAAAAAAAACAGTAACAAATGTTTTAGTACCAGTAATAATGAACAAAATTATAAAAATCAGTTGCAACGAAATGACCATTGACTTGCAACGAATTGACCATTGACTTGCAACGAATTGACCATTGACTTGGAACGAATTGACCAAATGTGGAACGAATTGGACTTGGAACGAATTGACTAGCATTCGATGACGACACATAGAAAGAAGACATATTTCTCGAGTTATTCGAAAAGAAGGATTAAGATTGTCTGCATATGGTCTAAAAATCATTAGAGAAACAGATTCCACCACCAAATCTGGTGAAAAATTCTTTATTTATCCACTCTTCACTGAGATTCGCGTTTTAAAATTGAAAACTAACTGTCTCCAGTGGATAAATATCGTATCACTCTCGATGTAGTGGTAGAATCTATATATATATATATGAATAAGTCTAAATTGAAAACAACGTTCAAACCTATGATTGCGTTGGATAAAAACCACAATTTTTATACGTGTGCATGCAAAACAAATTTCAGCACAAACAACATTTTCCAAATGACCAAAAAAGTGAAAAAGTATATATATGTATAAAAATTGGTGGACAGGGTTATCTCTCTTGCAAATGTAAAGGCGGTTGTAACAATTCGAAGTGTAAATGCAAAAAGCAGAATGTATTGTGTAATTCAAGGTGTCATGGTTCGCTCACCTGCTCCAACAAATAAGAGCATTGTATATTATTGTATAATATTGTAAATAGAGTTATCAGTGTGTTACATATTGATTCGTAATTAAAATTGAAATTATTTTTTATCATTTGATTCTATGTAAAATATTGTACAAGTTATAAGTGAAATTAAGCCTTATTTTGTACAAATTATAATGTGTACAGGCACTTTTTGTACAAAGTCAAAATACAAATTATAATTTGTACAAAATGATAACTTGTACACAACATATATACAAAACAATTGAAAGACCTTACAGTTGGCATTTTGCACACACTTATCCATTTTTCGAGTTAAAAAAAAAAAAAGATTTTGTATTGAAATTTTGTGCCAAATGATGTCATTTTATTATTAGTGGTTAAAATTCTGGTATTTCAAACACTCTTTTCTAAGGCCAGAAACAATTATTCCTAAATCTGAGTATAAAACTAATGCTTTTATGTCATGGTCTTTATATGTAAACACAAAAGAAGAAAATGTCAGAGGAATTTTGTTTCTTTTTTCCCGCTATCTGTGCAAATTGATGTTGTTAGTCAGTCAGTAGAAAACATCTGTTCCACAGAAAGTGTGTACACAGGTAGTAAAGTAGTCCATCTGCATACATCACAATTCATTCACTATATAGATTGGTAGATATACTATGGTATACCTTATACGCTCATATCTATTATTCTAGTATGAAGGCATGAATTAATACAATATATAGTGTTGCCGATAGCCCAGCAAGCATAGTGGACAACGGAATTTATTAATCATTTACATACATGTATCTTAATATATATAAATATATGAAAAAATAATAATCACAATTACTCCGAATAACGAAACCATGATATACACTATTAGGTACAACTTAGCTAGAATAATGTAAACCTTATACGAACAAGAGCTATTATATGGTTGACATGAATATAAACTGAATAACTGAATAAATGAATAACTCGATCATGAACGACCTCGCCGGCCAGGAACAACCAAACAAACCCAATAATGGGATAAACTGGAAACCTGGGTCCGACCCAATGCGACAAATCGTCTCACGAGACATACTCGGACGTGTATTGTTTTAAAAACATATAAATACATGTATCATAATCTATTCATAATATGAATGAAACTTGAATGTTGCCCTGTCTGCGGCGGGCTAGAAAGTAATAGTCTCAGGGGAAAAATTTCCCGCTATAAAATTAGTCACGTGTCTTATACCTAGTGACGTAAACTTATAAAACTATACGCTAGTACCGTACATACAATAATTTCTCCCTATACTAGCGAAACGTGAGAAATTATACGTATACCTTATACGCTCATATCTATTATTCTAGTATGAAGGCATGAATTAATACAATATATAGTGTTGCCTATAGCCCAGCAAGCATAGAAATACCAAAGAAAGGGTTAGAGTGTAGTAAAATGATATCAAAGACCCAATTTTTGTGAAACTGAAATTCTCTTTTCTAAAGTATCTTCGATATAACCATCTTTAACAAAATCTGTTTTCCACCTCCCATGTCGCTTTATGCATCTTTCATTTACATTAGACTTAGCAGCTGCAGTTGCACCACCCGATCGTAAGGAATGAAGACCAAGATTTAAACTTGGGGCTACCAGCTTAAGTCTCTTTACAATGTTTTCCTTAGCTGCAGTGTAGCTAATAGGTTTATTCTTATATATAAGTTTGGCTACACCTTTGGATCTAAAAACAGGTTTGAATATGAAGTGTTCAGATTGTGCGTCTAAACCAGCTAAAGACAAATATCGTAAATACATGTTAACTGAACAAGCGATAGTGATACCTTTAGAAATAAGAATTTCATTCCCTTGTCTGTATTGATCAGTTTTGCTATTAGAAATAAAAAGTTTTAAATGATCTTCGAAAATGCTAACATCTTTGCATCTTAATTTACTTATCTCATCGAACCTGAGAAACCCTGAATAAGACAACAAAATCATAGTGAGATCCCTAACTATAAGTAAATCTGAACTATCTGTGTACATAGAGCATAAATCAATCAATATGTCATTGTTAACTGGATCTTTTTTGTTTACAGGCCTACCATTACGTCTTTTAGCGGATTCTAAAAGGTATTTTACAAATGAATTTTCTGTCGGATCATTAAAACTGTTAAGATCATGGGCCCATTTGATTGAATATACAGCTGAATTAACAACACTCGGAGAACATTGTTCATCTATTAATTTTGTAATGTAAAGTGCTATATGAACAGGCTCAGCAGGCAATTCATTTAAAAAGTTTTCGATTGCGAATTTCTTCCATCTATTGAAACTTGAATAGTACTTTTTACAGGTATTCTCACTTCTCTAATCAACAAGGAATGTAGTCATCTTTCCAGCTAAGTTGTACATTTTACTGTTCTCTGAAACACCACTCTCTACTATAGCAGCTTCAACGTTTCGTCTAAGGTTCACTCCTGCAAATAACAATTGTATTATCAAAAATCTATTTTCAAAGCTAGCATTCTAAATTTCATTGGCAATTTTACGAACACTCCGTTTTTGCCTGCTCCTTTAACTATCACCCTTTTTCCCGACAGATATTCTATGTCTTGTATAAAATGTGCTCTACCTTTTGATGTGTAAATCAGCGGCCAAAAAGGGGCCGATTTCCATTCCGGAATAACTTAGGTACATGAAGCTTTGTCATGCTGTATTTTTTGTAAAACCATAGGAACAAGAGACAGTGGTGGGACTAACCAGTTTGTGTCGTTACCCCAATTTTGAGAGAATGCGTCTATACTTTCTGAACCTGGGCACCAATGTTTTGAGTTGAAACGTGTGCATTGTGTATTATAATGCGTAGCGAACCTGTTAATACTATATGGTCCCCATTTACCATTTAAATATTTAAACAATTCGCCGTGAATACCCCAATCATCGTTATCAGTGTTTCTGCTCAATTTGTCTGCGTATTGATTGTCTGCCCTGGGTAGCCATTTAGAATTTAAAGTGATGTTCTTATCTGAACAAATATTGTGAATATCTACTGCTATGTTTTGTAATATGTTTTTCTTGCTGCCGATCTTTAGTATATGTGGAACATTTTTATTGTCTGAGTTGATGTTAACCGACTTGTTATCTAAGCTAAATTTTCTTTCATAAGTGCATAATACCCGTCTGGCGCATTCTAATTCGCGCCATGTTGAACTTTGCAACTTTTCATCACTTGTCCAATTACCTGACATTTCACCGTTGTCGACACAATTAACAACGCTACACTGGGTGGATAAAAAACCACCGAAGCCTACATCCGAGGCGTCACAAAAAATGTCAAACTCTGACACAAAATCATGATCAACTCTGCAAATGTCAACACCATGCTCATTTAATTTTCTGAGCGAGCTATCCCAGAATAAAATTTCTGTGAGAGCATCTGGATTCATCTTTACAGGAGCATCCCAACTTGCTCGTCCCATGATACACTCATACAAGTATCTTGTGTGCAATCTCACCTTGTCACCAATAACAATCATCATGGAAATTATTTGGCCTAAAATACTAGCTAAAAATCTAGCACTGAATAGCAATCTACCGTTTGTAATTTCTTTGCATAATTTGCGAATACTATTTTCGGCTTTCTCAATTCTCTCTTCCTTGATAAAAACTCTACCTATTCTGGTATCCCATGTGTAACCCAACCAATCCATACTCTGACTTGGTAACCAATGACATTTCTCATGGGCTATTAAAAATCCCAATCTTTCGAGTGTATTTTTAACTTCAAGACTACTATTCATACTATTTTTAAAATCATTGTCTCCTCCGAGACCGTCATCTAAAAACATGATGACACGTTTACCTTCTGTTCTCATGTGTTTGACAACTTCTCTTAGCACTTTGGTAAATATATACCCAGCTGTTGCGATGCCAAATGGCAACACATTAAAAACAAAATATCGCATAACACCGTCAAAATCAAATGCAAAACCAAGAAAAGATCTGTGTATTTCTGTGATCTCAATATGATGATATGCGGATTTCAAATCGTAGCTAAATAGAAAATCACCCTTTTTAAAAAGGTCTCGTGCGTTTTCTGTATCTTCGTACTTAAATCTAAATTTAAAGAGATGTGAATTCCAATGTCGACAATCTAAAACCAGTCTCGGTTTGTTCTTATTGTAAGCAACTGTAAGAGGGTTTACAACAAAAGGCCTTTCTTTTACTTCTGAAATGCATCTCTTCTCTATTAATTTTCTGATCTCCTCTTTTACAAATTTTGGATTATCAAGTGAAGATCTGTTATTCTTCAACAGTTCTGATCTTGGTTCTGTCTTAAAAGGTATCTTATATCCGTTTTCAATAACATCTAAAATATGTGTATTGCTTGTAATTGATTTCCATTCAGGTAACTTAGATTTTAACTGACCTACAGGTGAGAGAATACCTGTAGACTGGTCAACCGTAACATTTAACGGCGATTTAAAACTGACCTTATTATTAACCTCGTCTTTGCAATAAAATGTCATGTGACCATCAGTTTCTATTGAACTCTGTTCAGTATCATTTAAATTTGAACATATACTATTAGTCAAGATTGGCAAATTATATAAAGTTTTAAAAATACTTATCTTCTTCTTATCCGGACAATCGTCGGTCCAGTGGCCTCTTCTTCCACAATTGAAGCACCTGCCAGGTTTCCAAGAAGAATTGGCAGTCTCTGCCTTTTCTCTCGTGTATGGTGTTTTTCTTGTAATTTGTTTCTTGGATTTCTCTGCTTTCTGTTTTCTTTCTGCTCTGTTTTGTGCCCTGATTATTTTCCTCTCATCTTCCGAATCGTCGGCGATAGGATTTGTCACGTATTCGCCTACAACCTTCCACCCGAGTTCCGAGGAATCTGCCATTTTAATTAGTTTCTGTCTTTCTTTTACTAATTCCATACCTTCTACTATCTTGGCTTTGGCTGCTTGTACGGAATCAACACTCAATTCTGGTCCTTCTAAATTAACGTCTGCTTCTTTCAGCTTAGATAGTACCTTAGACTCGTGTTTAAACTGGTTCTCGTTGCCTTTTCTCTTGAATGAGTAATTATCAGTAAAGGTCTGCTCGATTTTGTACATCTGAGACTGTGAAATGTCCTGTTGAGATTGTCTGATGTTAGATTGGAAAGACGATAACCTTGAATCCATTATAGAGGAAATGCTATTCAATATATCTTGTTGAATGTTCGAAACTGCATTTTTAACTTCTGAAGATATGGCGTCTTTAAGTGAACTAGATATCCCGGTGTCCATTTTCAATGTTGCCCTGTCTGCGGCGGGCTAGAAAGTAATAGTCTCAGGAGAAAAATTTCCCGCTATAAAATTAGTCACGTGTCTTATACCTAGTGACGTAAACTTATAAAACTATACGCTAGTACCGTACATACAATAATTTCTCCCTATACTAGCGAAACGTGAGAAATTATACGTAAAATCTGTAGCTTATATGTAAACAAACAATTTATTAAGAAAATTAGTATGCTAATTCATGCCTATACCTTAAAGGTTGTTACTATCCTACAATATAAAGGAATATAATTGTTCTCCAACATATTAAAGGGGAGACAATCAAATTTACAGCGCTAGGTATCCTTTTGTAAGTTTCCTCACAGTTCTTGACTGATATTGATTTGTATTTAATTATCTTTAACTAGTATAGATGCCTGTTGGCTAATAACACGTATTTTAATGTGTTATATCAGCAAACAGATTCCAGTTTACAAATTCAAGGCAAAGACTGTGGAGGAACATGTATAGTGCTACAAACTAGGTTAAATAAAAAGCAGGAAAATAATGAAATGTAAGATGTGATGGGTCATAGAGACTGAAGATAATATTCAAGTTGTACATTTTAAGATGATTTTTTTGTCTTATTTTTATGATTAATTCAACTAGTGCAATTTAGTTTTACTCATATTTAAGTTGTTACAAAACACAACAGTGAAAACTAAAGACTGAGAAACGCAAACCACACAAATAACCAGGAGTGATCTCAAGTGCTCTGGAAGGGTAAGCAGATCCTGCTGCACATGTGGCACCCATTATAACTTGTTTGGAATAATTGTTTAGAAGTTGTTGGTATTAGGATAAACTGTACATACTATCAATTATCATTTTATTAATTTTTTATAAAATATAACTATTACATGCATAAAAAAAAATATTGCATTAATATAAAGAAACATATGTATAAGTAACTAGATATCACATATAGAAAATTAACATTTATTTGTATAACAAGAAATAAACAAGAGGTACTGTGAGATTTTGTGAGCACAGCTCACACTCTGAAAATTATTCATATAAAATAAGCAAAATAGAAAGTGCACAATAGCATTATATGGTAAAGATTATGAGAAAGTTTCAATACATGTTATAAAGGGTCTGTCTAGGAGGAGTTGCAGATACAAAATGGGTACCCCCCAATTAAAGTGATTGGTAAGGTAAGTGCTTTGGTAAGGGAAACCCCAAAAATGATTTGGATCACAAAGCAAATTAGAGGTTTATAAAAGAATTATATGGTTAAGATTGTGAGAAAGTTTCAATAAACTTAATTAAGGACATATATTGCCATGCTGACATATTTGTATATCTTGTCCTTCTCATGCCAAAAAATTGTAAAAACTGTCATTTAAGGGCTATAACTGGAATTAAAAGTTGACCAACAATTTCATCAATATGAACCTGTTTGTAGATCTTGTCTTGTGGACAATTTTTGCTATCAAAAGTTTCACTTTATCTATTATAATTCAAAAAAAAAAAATAGGCAATAAGGCAAAAAATTGGTAAAAATCATCTTCTAATTGCAACAACTATAAAGAGTCAACTGACAATCAGGCACCTTGACCTTAATATAAATCTTGTTTTGTTGTCCATTTTTGCTTATAGCATTTCCATCCATCTATTATAGTTTTTAAAGGGGCATTAGCTATGAGATATAAAAAAAAAATATAATAGGATTTTTTTTGTTCAATCATTAATAAAAGTGAAATAGTGAAATAATAATTAGCTTTTAGAAGCCAGTTTGGTTCAATTTTGTCAAATTAAGCTTAGAAACATCGCTGTTGAATTATTCATTTGCAAGTGAATATTTCGACCTCATTGAATCTGTATTCATGTGAAATTCAATTTAACCCCTTATGAGATGGGTTACGCATGAATTGGCGTGTTCAGTAATTAAAAGGAAAAGAATGTCAACATTGAAAGTGAAACAAGCGTTAACCATTTGATTTGACTGATTTGATCCACAAAAACTCATACTTATACAGGTAAAAACAATGATTTACATATATTTTCAACCTATAATATGAAATCAAACAGACCTAGAAAAATCCAATTGCACAAGTTCGCTATCTACCTATATCTACATTTATGTTTATATCAGGTTATATGACCATCGGCAGTCTTCGGAGGTCACCACAATGGTTAATTAGATGGCGTCTAGACTAAAATACACACGAAATGTTGATACATATTATCGAGCCTATGCATTGCAATTTGTTCATTTTAGACTTTCTATAAATTGGATATACGTTTTAGTATGTTAGAAATCAAATATGAGAATTTGAGTCAAATCAGTGAACATGAATTTGACAGCTAGTGCCCCTTTAAGATATTAGGCAAACATCTTTCAAACTTAAAACAAAGCAACAGTGTTAATTAATATATTTAGGAATCTGAATAAAAACTGACCACATGATCACTGTGAATATAAAAATGCGATTACAGAACTTGGAACACAAATTTGGTAAACTTAGGAATTCCTCTGCAAACAAAGAAAAGAGCATATACTGAAAACTAAAAAAAAATATGTGTGCCTTTATCATCAAGAATGAACAAAATCATGATTTTACATTGTCAGTTAAAATGATAGTATTTATCCCACCCTAACAAAGCCTACAAGAAAATATATTAGCCTGTCTAAATTAATTATAAGCTGTATATGAAAATTGTAATGGTTCTATAAAACAGTACAAGATTTAGATTTTTGTTCCTGTGGTTTGTTATTTTCTTGAGATTGTGTTTTTTCCTTGTTTTGAGAACCTTTATGTTGTTGCTCAATTTTCTGTTTTGTAGGTGACGATTCAGCATTTGTGTGCACGTGGCTCACAGCCACAGGTTTGGGTTGTATTACAGGCGATGGCTTGTTATCTGTTGGTTGTGGACGACCTGCACTTCTGGTAATTTCAGAACTGACAGATCTTGGAACTGTATTCTGGTTGGCAAGTTTTCTCTCATTGTCAATTTCATCTGATTTATTATTGTCAATCTGTTGAATAGAATGTTGACTGTACTCTATACATTTTTCATCCTCATTTTCTTCATTTGAAATATTCACTGGAATATGCAGTCCAATTTTGTCCATTAACTCATCAAATTTTGGTCCAGTCCATGTCATTTGTACTTCTTCAGCACGATAAAAGTTGATAAACAAGAGCTGAGTAAAGACCATACTCATTGGTCCAGAAGGTGGCCAATCCATTTTCTCTAATAGCAATGGTATAATTGGTTTCTTCAAAGCATCAGCCAAACTGACTTCCCTTCGACAGTTGGCAGACAGGGAATACTTCTGTGTGATGCATGTTAGAACTACTTTACAACCTCGTACACCAGAGTCTATTTTCTCATACAAGGAGTCTCCACCACCCATTTGATAAATGTCCATCCAGCAACTCAAACCAAACTCAGTCAATCTTTGGTAAAGGGCTATAATCTCTTTCTGTTTACCCCATTGGTAGGATATAAAGACTTCTGGACACTTCTTTTCCTATAAAAAAAAATAAAATTTTCATGGCTATAAAAGACATAAAGTGTAAATAATGGTGAAAATATAATTTCATGTTGTTCTATGGAACAGGTATTTGCTCTTACATACAATTTGGGACATACTTGGCAAAGAAACAGAAAAAAATCTTAAGTCCACCATATCCCTTTTCATTTGTATAATAATTACAAATCTTACAAGTCATGAACTACTCAGTATAAATTACAATTTTTATTTCAAGTTATTTGGGAGAAGAACCAGTATACATATGTATCAACACCTTCTATATGAAGTCAAATCAAATATAAAACAGAACATACTTTCATATGTATCAAATAAAGTATCACTGTAATCTGAAAAGATACCTGGTCTGGGATTCCTGTCTGTTTGGATTGAGACTGGTTCTGTTTTTTCTTTGTTTTATCTATTACTATAATTTCTTGTACTGGTATCCACCAATCTTTATACGCTGTTGACATAGAAGAAAACTCCTGCCACTTTTTGTTCATTAGATATTATACAATTATTGACTTTTTATGAGGTTGATACAATGATATATATTATCTGCTTTGGTAATTGCTAACTTTCATAAGTTAAAATATTCAAAAAGATTTATTAAAATTTCAAGAAACACATTTCATATGAATTTAACCTCTCATGATTTTCCCGCATTGAATATAATTTTTTATCAAGGAACATTTGATATGTTTTTAGCCAATGAGAAAAGAGAATTGTTATAGTTATATAATAAAAACTAATGAAGGTGTTCATGCTGATATGCAAATTGTGTAATTATTGGGGATTTGGTGTTACCTACTGATACATCAATTTAGAGTTGTTTTTTTTGTGAATGTAATGACCCAAGGTCAATTGGTGTAAATGCCATCATAGAACAATCAGTTTTTACTGTGACGTAATAACATAAGCGTTGTGACATAGAAAATGCATGAGACAGTGCACGAATTCCAAAGTCTTCAATAGAGGTGACTTGCATTGACAGCATAGAAAGACATTGAAAGGGGTCATATATCATATGTCAAGTAAAAAGGACCTATTGCAACAAAAAAAATTTCAAATACCCATTTAGTCCAACTATCTACTTGTGAACAATCTGTAAAAGGAAAACTCAACATGACTTTTATTTCGAAACAATCAACGAAAAAACAATAAACTTACTATCATCAATCAATGTTTCATCAGGCAGAATACCATAACAATTCAGCTGCATCAGCATTTCCTGGAACTTGGCAACAGGCCAAAATCTGTTATCTTCAGTCTCTTCTCCAGATCGCTGGAAAAACCTGACAAAAAGATACTCGCTGAAGATAGGTCCCATAGATCCTTTTGGTGGCCAACCCATTTTCTCCATTAGCAGAGGTATCATTGGCTTACCTAAGCTTACAGATAAATTTACCTGAAAGAAATCATAGAAATTCTTAAAGATTTTAAGCATTAGCTTTTTAATTAGCCCCTTTTATGAGCTGAGATTTCTTTCAAGAAACATTCTGATTATTTTGAAAATCAATTACGAACAAAAGTGGACATGCAGAAGTATATATCTTGCACAATTGATTGTGACAAGAAATATATGTAGTCAAATATGGGCACTTCATGCTACAAATTTTGCAAATGTAAAAGATATGAAAAGAGAATTAATTCTAAATACAAATTTAGGAAGAACATATTGTAACAAACAATTATAATACCGTTTACTTATACTTTAGCATTGCACAAGGTCATGCGTTTCTCAGATTGTTAATGACATCTAAACACTCAATCTGTTGGATGTGTACTGATTCATACTTTAGTCTGGGAGAATATGATTTATTTTATTAGTTGTAATATGCATTGAACTAGCTTTCAGTAACTGCCAGTACACTTATATCAATGCTTTGTGTTTATTGTTTTTATGTTAGTTGGTTTATTTGTGCTTCATACCAATTTATTGAGTCAAGACATTTGCAACTCATTTTTACAGTTTGTTCTTATGTTGTGCTGTAACACCACTGTCTCAGGTTGGGGGAGGGTTGAGTGCTCACAAACATGTTTAACAATGCCACATTCTTTAAGTGCATGCCCCAAGTCAGGAGCTTGTAATTAAGTGGTTGTCTTTGGTTCATTTCTGTCATATGATTTTTTTCTCGTAAATTGTATTGTATAAATCAGGCTGTTAATTTTCTCATTTGAATTGTTTCACATTTTTCATGTCAAGTCTTTTTGTAGCCGACTATACTTTCTCATTGTTGAAGGTTGTACGGTGACCTATAATTGCTTTTCTCTTCATCTTCTGAACTCTGTAGAATGTTGTCTCATTGGCAATCACATCTTCTTATTTTCATACAGATGCCACAGAGCTTTTTTGATTTCTTAGTATGAGAGGAGTAAAAAATGCCTAGTTTTTATATTTAGTAGTGTAGAGATAAACTTTCAGTTAAAAATATAAAGTAAAAAATTCTTATTACACTCTGTTAGTTGTTTTATTTTATTTACCTCTCTATTACAATTTGGAGACTGTGCATATTTTTCTGACACACAACAAATGATGACTTTTGCTCCTCTGATACCATTGTCAATTTTCTCAAATAATTTATCTCCTCCTCCCATCTGACCAATGTCCATCCAACATTCATATCCTGCCATTTGTAGGTGGTTACGGATAAGTTTGACCTCATCCTGATGACCCCACTGGTAACTAAGGAACACAGCAGGAGGGGAGGCGTAATCTACTTCTTCATCTTCTACAACATCAGCTGAAAAAAAATGTTAAAATCTTTTTTATATCACTATATTTATACATATATGACATATTTTTTCACTTATTTAAGTCATAATTTTCATCCTCATTTACCAATTTAACAGAATCAACCTTTTGTATTAATTGTCACTTTGTTCGTGTTCTGAGAAAAAAAAAACGAAATATTTGTCACTGGACATTTGGCAAGCAACAATCATTCAATCTTTTTTGGTCATATAATTAAGTTCAAATAATTCCAGCAAATACCTCCATCCAAACTATGAACTGTATTTTTTGCCTTATTTGTTTTTACCATCTGGCTTCATTGCATTTTCCATAATGACATTACCACATATTCTGGTATTTAGTAAGGGAGCAACCATTTAACATCAAGGGGGTTATGGTTTTTTGTCGGAGTCAGAAAAATTTTTTGCGCAAGGCGCGAACATTTTTATTTAGCTTTTCGACACTATCAATCAAATTTTTTTTTTCAAAATTTAACACTATAAGGTATGGGGAAAAATTGGATTCACAATATTTTTTTGTGTCATCTTCTTGACCACAATATTTTTTTTCATCAAATTGGGGATCAGAATATTTTTTTAGGAAAAAACCATAACCCCACCCCTTGAAGTTAAATGGTCTTTCACTAAGAGTTATTACTCTTATCCACTGTTTAGTTTTTAATAACATTTCCCACAATGACATCTCCTATTACATTATGCAGTAAGAGTTAACTGGTTACCAAATGACTTCATACCATTTGCACAATGGCATCTATATTGACTCTTGTTCATGAGTAACTTCCCTTACCTACAGCCTTCATTGCATTTTCCACAATAGCAGCACCATCCATTCGGTTCATTTCCTGTAAGGCTGTTAATACAGCATAGTTTGCCTCCCTTGTTTTGTGTGTAGCATACCATTCACTGAGAACAGCCATACATGGATCATGTTGTGATGCCCACGCTCTGATGTCATCGTTACTATATCCAAGACGTTGGGCCAGTAATCTCCAATCATGTTCAGCTGATGGATTCATCAACTTTGTCAAATCTCTTGACCATCGAGGTGCATTGGTCATTGTCTGAAAAGAATAATTAGATTTCGTCATAATTTTCTTCAGAAGGTACTATGTACTGTGACAAATGCTTTAAAGTGCTCTGTACTTTTCACCTTTAACTACATTTCAAATCAATAGTGATGACTACTATTCTTTTATAAGCAGATTCTTGATCCTTGTATTTCTGATTAGAATGTACTAGCCTTCACCCTGGAACATTTTACCCTTTTGTCTCAGCGGGTCACATACCTTGATCTATGGAAAATGCCATCTACTGAAGGAAAACATAAAAGATGATGTGAAAGACAGATAGAAAACTTAATGAAACATTTCCTGGCATTAAACTACAAATTAAATTTTACAGCTGTCACATTATTTGAATCATGCACAATAATACTTTGTATACCAGTAGTTTCTATATAGAAATAGCAGCAGACTGTCCCGAAAATAACTTTAAAAGAACAGATTTAAATACCTTCATGTCAACTTCCTCCACTTTAATTTTAGTCTCCTCAATATCTTTTTCAGCAAAGTCCACCCTCTGAGTGACAGTATCAAGCCCCTCCCCTAATTCCTCAATGTTTTCATCATGTTCATCCACTCGAGTGGTCAGACCTACTACAGCTACCTCTGTACCGGTCACTCTTTGGTCTAATTGTTCCACATCCTCCTTAGTTTCTTTCACATCTTGGACAACTGTTTCCAAACTTAAAAGTAGAAACCAATATAATATATAAATATGCGCAATTTATGTTGATGAAATGTTTTATATCAAATAACTACTAAAGTATAGTGTTGAGGTCATCACAGAACGCCTTCTTGAAAAAATGGGTAAATTATGATGCAATTTTAGAAGTAATCATGGTTATTCCATTAAGCATAGCTATACCCATGAAAGGCAGAAATTTTACTGATGCATCACTAATTCATCCCCAAACTTAAAGGGGTTTTCAAGTCAGAGAGTATAAATCAATTTAATATGTATGCACAGATACTGCTTAGTTGAACTTAGTTTTTGCCAATGACTTTCAATGTTTTGTTTTCTTCCTTGTGGTGAATAATCATAAGTTTCATTTAATATCCAAATCCAAGGGGTTTTAATGCATCATCAGAGAGCAGAAAATGATTTTTGCACATATGCACAGGGGTCAATAAGTTGAACTGGACAATGACTTTCATGGTACTGTTTTCAACCTTCTACATGACACACTTTCTAAGAGTGGTGAATATTTATGCCAAGTTTCATTACCCAAGTTCAATGGGTTTTAAAGTTAGAGAGCATAAACATATGCATGGAAAAGCAAATTACTATAGGCGATCAGCTGATTAATCAGTGGCGCCCTCATTAAATGAATCCTTGGCACATAGTCAACAATATAAAATGTCACAGCAAAAGTTTGTTTTATTAAAATACAAACATTAAATTTTTTCATATTACAAAAACAGGTCGGTATTCAGAGTGAACAAACCTGGCATACTTACATTCAAACTCCAGAATCAAAAACATTTCTGCCTGGCTTGTTTTGCTTACAATGCCTTGATCTAACAATTAAATTCAAGATAAGCCTCTGTATTTACAATTAAGCATGTTAAGTGATGACAGTAATGATTTTTTTAGTAAATACCTCCTTCCTTCTATCTGGTCTACCAAGGCAGAAAACTGTCCCTTAATAGTTGTTTTCTCTTCAGTATCTCTTCTCTCTACAAGATATTCCTTGTGTTGTCCAAACATTTCAGGTCCATATTTTCCACATAAATCTTGTAGACCTGTCAATGTACTTGAAAGCTGAGTATCATCTTTTGCTACCTTCAGAACACCCATTAGGTACTTGAATACTGGATTTCTGAACCTCTGTCGAATACATATGAAACAAGCAATCTTAGAAATGTTCCATACTAACTAGAGCATTATCTGAAGATGTATATTAATAATATCCTTATATCACACATGCCGTTTTTACACATTTTTGTTAAATCTGGGGAATTCATACACAAAGAAAATAAAATACCTCGTCCATTGTATCTTGTATATTTAAGAAATAATTCTTTTATGTCATGCTCTATGCTAATTTTAACATGGGTAGGCATTAAATTTGTAAAGCATGGCATGATAGAACTATTTCGATTCTTACAGGAAAATTTAGAACTTTTGTACTTTGAAGCAAACCTATAAAACACATTCGAAAGGCATTCTTTTTTGATTTTAAGAAGCCAAACTGATTCACAATAAAAAATGGACAGATACATGTAAACTTACTTTTAGAATAATTTTATATAATTTCTTAGCAAGCAACACCAATAAAAATGTCCATTTTGGTCTCCGGCACTGTTCAAAATACAACTGACATTGCAATTTCAGTTGTGACTTCAATCATGTGCAACCCATGTTCTATTCGAAATTAGGATATAGCTTTGGAATCAAAGCGAAAGAAAAATGTCATATTAGGCTTCTAATTCAACAATATGATTGTTTGTTGTAGTGTCTTTTTCTTAAGTTAACCTAATACAATGTATAAATAAAAATTCATCACAAAATAGCATTGATATTGTTATATGTGGAATAATTATAGATTATAACATGCCCTTTTCCATATTGGCCCTGGTATCATCCTAAGACTCCCATATCAGCCAGAGGCTTTAGGCAAGGGTCGATATGGGTCGAGGGATGATACCAAGGCCAATATGGAAAAGACATGTTATAATCTATTTATCACATATCTAAGTTCTGCACAAAAGAGAAAAACATTCAATTATAACTAATTTAATTAACCACAACAGGTAAATTCTAAAAAGATTTATTACATTTTCCATTATTTTTATCATTTACTGCAAACAAATTTGTTGTAACGTTTCCCCTTATTTTTGAATATGGTAATAAACAAAGGCGATAATTTGGCATAACTGGGGCTAAATCTATAATAGTTGGTTGGATATTGTTAATAGTGGCTATTGTAACAGAATTCTCATAATTTTTAATACAAACACCGTCATTGTTCACTATTGTCGTTAAGGACCCAATGACATCACGTCATTTGGAATCAGGGCACAATAACCAATAACCACTTTTTTGCCCTGGGCAGCAATATGAGTAGGACAATTTTGCGGTTATTACATATGCAAAATCCAATGTTTTCGTAACAAATATGTGATAATATATAATATATATATATATATATATAAGACCTACCTCAATGGTTTTTGCTACATTTACTAGGATACCATTAACAAAATGCTGTTCCAGTGGCTTTGTGTCCTCTGCCATCAGTTTGTCTATATATTTCTCAAACACTTTAGGGTTGACTTTTGTAGCTTTCTCTATAGTCATCAAGACCTGTATTCTAATATTCCCATCATCATAATGATTATCCATTAATAATTCCACCACTTTTTCTGTTATCATCTGTTGTAAAAAAAATTGTTACCATGATGTAAAGGATAAGGTACAATGGTCCAGTGTAACCATTATCATTTGTAAATTTATCTTCAACATCAATGCACTTTGATACTTCTAACACTTGTACATAATTTGTAAATCATTAAAATACAGTTAATTTAACTTTTACATAACACAATATCAAGAAAATAACACTTAAATTTTTAGAGTTTTCAATAATTGACGTAATTTGAGTTGGAGTTATTTCCCTTGGCCCCATGTTGGAGTGTAAACTGGCTGACATTCTTATTTGACTTACCAACTTTAAACATATGATAAAAGCAAGACTGATAAAAGATACATACTTGACTGTAGAGATTATTTATACAAGGTTTAAACAAATGAACATTGTTCAGAAAACAGTCTAGCAGTCATTATAACAAGATGAATTTGGATAGATTTATGAAGGAATTTGAGCATTTTGCCATCAAACATGGTGAAAAACGAAAATAACTCTTAACTCCAACTTTATATCACCTTATCATAAGTCTGAGCATAATAACATACAGAAAAGGCTTCCCTAAAAAGCCAAATAATAGAAAGTATACTAGGGCAGATAATTACTGCTTCTATATTTTAGCTCCATTAGCAAAATCTTGACTACTTGTTGTCAAAATAATAATTAGAAGAAGTAAAAAATGTGCATTGTTTTATTTTTACAGTCTTCCAACAGGTCAAAGACTATTAACACAAATTCAGAATCCTTTGTTTTGTAATTTGAATATATGAAAGTCAAAAACCTTCAGTTGTCAAAATATATACAAAACGGACTTCTTTGGTGATAAAAAATTGAATACCCACACTCGACATTTTTCTGAAAATCATTATCTGAGAACCTGAAAATTAAGTTTACATGGCCTTTTATTATTTTCTATCACCTAAATACATATTTTGGGGCAATTTTTAACAGAAACATAACAGGAGGTGCAAACAGTCAATATGTACGGAATATTTCTGAAAATGCAGTTGAAATCAAGGAGCTAGTGTAGGATGAATTGTTAATACAAGGTCCAGAAAGAACTCAACAGACACATTATTAACTAGGCATCCTCAATATACAAAAAGGAAGTTCACAAAAATTGCATTAGGCAGTTTTCTGGTTTTTCAGATAATTATTTTTTGAGTATCTCTTTACACAATTTTATAAATTCTAGAGGAGAAAAAAAACCCAACAAAATTCTACAGTAACCTCTTTGCAGTACATGAATTTAAAAACTTTCATCAGCATTTTCCAAAATAATATACAAGGTTTATTTATTAAGAAAAAACATTTTCCTTTCTTTAAAATAAAGTAATGTACTTAGCTCAAAGATAGAAGCCTGTAGTTCAGAAGTTGTCCGTCATATTTGTTATTCTTAATAGTTCTAACGTTTAAACCCCCTGCATTTGTTTGCACCTGTCCTAATTAGATATAGGAAGATGTGGTATGAGTGCCAATGAGACAACTCTCCATCCAAGTTACAATTTATAAAAGTAAACCATTATAGGTCAAGGTACGGCCTTCAACATGGAAAGTCAGGAACCTGTTGTTCAGTAGTTGTCGTTTGTTGATGTGGTTCATAAGTGTTTCTCATTTCTCGTTTTTTATATAGATTAGACCGTTGGTTTTCCTGTTTGAATGGTTTTACACTAGTCATTTTTGGGGCCCTTTATAGCTTGCTGTTCGGTGTGAGCCAAGGCTCCGTGTTGAAGGCCGTACTTTGACCTATAATGGTTTACTTTTACAAATTGTGACTTGGATGGAGAGTTGTCTCATTGGCACTATACCACATCTTCTTATATCTACTAGCATACGTATTATATATAATGCACTCATACAAAATTTTTCTTCATAAAGTAGAACATCTGAACAAACCTTTGGATGTTTATTGGACAGACCATAAAATACTTGAATCTGCATTATATATGTTCCTCTGTCCTCTTTACAAGCATCTAGGAATTCATCCATTCTATTTTTCAACGCATCAGGATTAATCTCAATTATTCTATGAAATATCTCTGAAAAAAAAACCACATTAGCTTTTGAATTTCCACAGAAATCATGAACATCCTGGTATATTTATAAAATATTTGCATTGATTCCTTGTGTGTAATTTAGAGGTGTACATGTTCTCACAGGCTTTTGCAATCAATTTTACAAAATCTATTTCAACAAGCATTCTGAGAGTATTGCATGGTAATACATAGTCCCCTACCGGGTAAAAATTCATTATACTGGAACAAAATGCTAACTTGTTCTATAACTTGTCATCGTGTAAACAAAAAGAAAATATGATGTCAATATCTTCAAGCATGACTAAAAACAGTGTGGAAAACTGAATATATGAGTGAATTTTTTCAAGTCCAAGGACCATAACTCTGCACAAAATTATCAGACCGAAACAAAAAATTTGAACTTGATCTGTAACTTGTCATGATAAAACTATTTACCAATTGTCAATCAATATTTTCAAGCATGATGAAAAAAAGTGTGGAAAACCTATAACACTCTAACATTAGATATGATGTAATACAATGTATATCTATTTTCAAATTAAAATCAAATATGATTAATAGTTCCAAATATTTTTTCTTTCATTTGTCACAAACTAATATAGATTTGTAACTTACCTATAAAATGTCAACAACTTTTATCTACACAATGTAATGTAATGAAATATATACTTTGATAAAAATAGATTATTATCTAATTAAAGGATTTCACTTAATAAAAATATATATATATATATATATACATGTAGCATTCAGAAAATTAGTTTATACAAAATAACATATAAACCTGCCACAAAATTCCTCAAACAATTTACAAAGAATGTCTTTTAAAAAATGAGTTATCTCCCTTTGTACAGATTATATGGTTTAACATAGTACTCTAACATTAGTTATGGGAGTTTTTTCATGGACCACAACTCTGGACTAAATCATCAGACCGGAACATAATTCGAACTTGATCTGTAACTTGTCATGATAAAACTATATACCAAATATCAAATCAATATCTTCAAGAACGAAGAAAAAAAGTATGGAAAGCTGAGTTGCCGGACTGACGGATGGACAGACGGACGGACGGACAGACAGAGTGCAAACCTAAAGTCCCCTACGACTTCGTCAGTAGGGGACTAATAAAACTAGAAGCTCTAAAGAGCCTGTGTCACTCACCTTGGTCTATGTGCATATTAAACAAAGGACACAGATGGATTCATGACAAAATTGTGTTTTGGTGATGGTGATGTGTTTGTAGATATTACTTTACTGAACATTCTTGCTGCTTACAATTATCTCTATCTATAATGAACTTGGCCCAGAAGTTACAGTGGAAAATATTTTGTAAAAATTTACAAAAATTTACAAAATTTATAAAAATTGTAAAAAATTGACTATAAAGGGCAATAACTCCTTAAGGGGTCAATTGACAATTTTGGTCATGTTGACTTATTTGTAGATCTTACTTTGCTGTACATTATTGCTGTTTACAGTTTATCTCTATATCTATAATAATATTCAAGATAATAACCAAAAGCTGCAAAATTTCCTTAAAATAAAAAATTACCAATTCAGGGACAGCAACCCAACAACGTGTTGCCTGATTGGTCTGAAAATTTCAGGGCAGATAGATCTTGACCTAATGAACAATTTTATCCTATCAGATTTGCTCTAAATGCTTTGGTTTCAGAGATATGAGCCAAAAACTGCATTTTACTCTATGTACTTTTTTTTAGCTATGTCGGCCATCAGACACCCTAATGATGATTGTGGACAAGTTTGGTTAAATTTAACTTAGTAGTTTCAGAGGAGAAGATTTTTGTAAAAGATAACAAAAATTTATGAAAAATGGTTAAAAATTGACTATAAAGGGCAATAACTCCTTAAGGGGTCAACTGACCATTTTGGTCAAGTTGACTTATTTGTAGATCTTACTTTACTGAACATTATTGCTGTTTACAGTTTATCTCTATCTATAATAATATTCAAGATAATAACCAAAAACGGCAAAATTTCCTAAAAATTACCAATTCAGGGGCAGCAACCCAACAACGGATTTTCAAATTCATCTGAAAATTTCAGGGCAGATAGATCTTGACCTGATAAACAATTTTATCCCATGTCAGATTTGCTCTAAATGCTTTGGTTTCAGAGATATAAGCCAAAATCTACATTTTACCCCTATGTTCTATTTTGAGCCATGGCGGCCATCTTGGTTGGTTGGCCGGGTCACCGGACACATTTTTTAAACTAGATACCCCAATGATGATTGTGGCCAAATTTGGTCAAATTTGGCCTAGTTTCAGAGGAGAAGATTTTTGTAAAAGTTACGGACGACGGACGCAGGACGCAGGACGACAAGTGATGAGAAAAGCTCACCTGGCCCAAAGGGGCCAGGTGAGTTAAAATGATGTCGCCCTTTTAGCTTGTCTTTATGCTTTAAATGAATTTATATGATCAACTAGAAATATTGTGAGCACTGCTTAAATAGATACCCCTCCCCCTTCCCCCCCCCCCTTCCCCCCCCCCCCCCCCCCCCAAAAAAAAAAACCAACATGCACACACATTGGTACCCATTGACACAAAACATAATAATTTGGCACTATTAAGGCAACCTCAAGTTTGTGGCCTTGATTTTTGAAGGAATAAAATTCTATAAACGTCCAAAGTGTGAAAAATGGACAGTTTTTCAAAGATTTTTCAACGAATAAAGTTCCATAACTCTGAAATGTCATATCAGAAATTTATGAAAAATTAAAGGAGCTTATTCAAATATATATAAACAAGTCACCAAAGTTTCATGAAAACTGCTCAAAGCATTTTTAAGTTATTGTCTGAAAACTGGAAAATACTCCCTCTTTTATGATTGAGGTCCCAATACTCCAAAACATAAAATCAAAATTTTTTAAAAGTCGAAAGGGACCTTATGTCAATATATATAAACAATTCACCAAAGTTTCATGAAAACTGTTTAAAGCAATTTTGAGTTATAGTCCGAAAACTGGAAACCCATCATTTTTTTATGAATAAAGTCCCATAACTCTGAAACGTAAAATCTAAAATTTATAAAAGTATAAATATGAAAGGGAGCTTACCTCATTAGATATAATCAATTCACCAAAGTTTCATGAAAATTGGTGAAAGTGTTTTTGAGATATTGCCTGAAGTGTTGATGACGGATGGACGTTAATCAGCAAACAAACAATCATTAGATTCATTGCCATATAATGAAATCAAACTTCTATCAAATATTTTTCAGGGGCATTTGTTTGAATAGATACACATATATTTTAATTTTATTCAACATGTGTCATTTACCTAACAAACATAATTCCTCTTGTGAAATCCTTGAATGGCTTTAATTAAAACTTCACCCTTAAGAAGAATACTATGAACAGATATGCAAAATATTATATAAATAAATGTGGAATGTGTCCATGGGTCACAGATGATGCCCCCGCTTGCATATCATATAAAGTTATAAAGGGACATAACTGAAGAACGGTAAAAGTGACCCTACCCAAATTTGAACTTGATCTGAGTTTTGTGGTCATAAGTATAGTGTATAAGTTTCATAAAATTTGGTTGAGGCAAACTTAAGTTAGAGAACGGAAACGAAAAATTCAGCAATTTTTCCATTTGTAAAGGGGTATAACTCTAGAATGATTAAAGTGACACCACCATAATTCAAACTTGATCTGTATTTTGTAGTAATAAGCATTGTGTATAAGTTTCATAGCATTTGGTTGAGGCAAACTAAAGTTAGAGAACGGAAACGAAAAATTCAGCAAATTTTCCCTTTGTAAAGGGGCATAACTCTAGAACGGTTAAAGTGACACCACAAAAATTCAAACTTGATCTGTATTTTGTTGTAATAAGCATTGTGTATAAGTTTCATAGCATTTGGTTGAGGCAAACTAAAGTTAGAGAACGGAAACCAACTTTGGGACTACAGTCTGATGGACGGACGGACTTACAGACGGACAAGGGTAAAACTTTTTAAAAAATGAAGTTGCAGTGGTTGCTATGCTTTCTAAATATATGGATTTAGTGATTCAGTATAAAGTTGGGTTCTTGTTCATTGAAGCTTGATTGATTCCTGTACTTTTTTAAGATTTTCAGTTTCTTAAATATATAAAAAAAACAGTTATCATTTACAATAAAAATACATACGCATCAAATCCATGGATGGTTCTTCTATATACCAATCTAATAAAGATCCAAAGAAGTCCGAACATACTTCAGGACATAGATTACCAACAATCTGCATGTTATTTTTACAAGCTGACCTTAAGAATTCTTCCTCTGCATGTCGAAACTTCATTAATCCCTTCAGAATTGGTATACAGACTTGACCAGTACCTCCATTACAATGCTAGCAACAAAGTATAGGTGTTTTATAATATAAATATATATATATAAGAAATATCAACTTATGGCTAATTTCACCTGGCCATAGGTTTTTAGCTGGGTGGTAAAATAGAAAAGTGTGGTCAAATTTTTTTAAAAGGGGAAATCTATTAAAATCATTCTATTTTCTTTATTCAGCTGTAAGTCGCTAAACACTTCTCAATAATGAAGGTCAGTGTGAGTGATTGATTGATTGGTGCTTAATGCCACTTTCAGCACTATTGGCTATTTTGTGGTGGTTAGTTTCTATTGATGGAGGAAGCTGAAATGCCCAAAGAGAACCACCAACCTTCGGTACAAAAACTGACAATCCTAGTCAATTAAGATTGGAGTTGTGCACACCTGCCCATGCCGGATTCGAACTTGCAACCTCAGTGTTAACAGGCTAGTAATACAGTAGTTCAACTACTTTGACTACTTGGCCACTGAAGCCCCATCCTACAGTTGACAATTTTGTACAAAATACAATTATCAGGAACAAAAAGTTAAAAAAATCCACAAAACCTTTACCAGCCTTTGTGTAATGCCAAATTTTAATAATTGATAATAACTACAGTTATACTGAAAAAAATGCATGTCTCTATAAAATGGGCAATGAAGACATTGACAATAAACCCACATAATCTAGCTGTTGTATTGAAAGATTAAAACAAAACTATGCATAGTCTTGGACCTACTGTTGAGCACTCAAGTTCAATCATTATATATTTGTAAATTAGTAGTAAACATGAATCCTTTTACCTTAGCAATAAACATAATAGAAATCTGTATAAGAACTCCCCAAATGGTTTGTCTTCCATCTTCTATATGGATCATCTCTCTGTCATCCTCCATACAAAACTCCAGAATTCTAATTACAACCTGGTTTACTTCATTTGGTATATCTTCTGATGACCTGGAAAATTGATGGTTTCTCATTAAAAAAAGAACTCTCTGGAAAGTCAGACATCTTCTATCATTCAAAACATTGGCATAATGTTACTTCAGAGACTTTTCTCTTGACTAGATACCTTTCCCAAATAGGTTGTGATTTCTGACATCAAATATTTTTTAAAGGAGATGTAATATATTTTTCCATAAGTGATCTTATTTCAATGGTCTTCTTTTTTCCAAATAGACTGGTTGTTCATGCAGTCAATGGATTTTCCAAATAGACCGGTTGTTCAATCAATGAAACTTCTTATACCTCACTATTTCTTTACTAAAAAATATAGCCTTAATCTTTAATAGTAATTAAAGTTCTCTTGTTTATTTTCATTATTTTTAGCAGCAAGTTTAATAAAATATTGGCTATCAAACAATTTTGATAAGTCATTTTGTGATTTTGTTTTGGAAAATACTTGATGACAAAACGTACAATGATATATTTTATGCATCAAATGCATTACTGAGTTTCATGCAGATGCACAATTTATGTTTGTAAAACTGTTCTCTCTATCCCAAGATATTCACAATTATATGAGATCACAATAAGAATGACTTACTTGTATGGTTCTATTAAGCATTTAAATAATTCAATGCAATTACCACTACACCAACCATCTGCCCGTGGATAGTCAACATTTTTTACGAGTGGTTCAAGGCGCATTGCTATCTTTGGGATAACCTCTGTACATTTCTGCAAAAAAAAGTTTATTTTATTGAACTACACTACTTTAGATTCAATAGAAGTAGTAACCTCTCTTTCTGAATCTGACTTGGAGAGGTAGTGAGAAGTAATGAGACTTTACTGAGAAGAGCTTGTTTCTTCTGATTTTTTCCTAAAATATATACTTTTTGCTATTTGTAACCTAATTTATTTTTTTTGTTTTGTTATGTAAAATTCTATGAATTTTAAATGTAACATTTTATATCAGGGCTTCCAAAATGGTTGTATTATCCGGACTTGACCGGTAAATTATAATTATGACTTGTTGTTTTGAGCCTGAAATGGACATATAAAGTGGGTCATTTAAAAAAAAAAAGAAAAAAATTTGAAGTTTATGCAATCTTTTTAACCTGACCATTTGCCTTAAACAGCCACACATTTCCGGTCATAAAAGTGACATGATGAGTAATTACTATCAAAACCAAATCCTACTTTAATACCCTCTCATTACAATCAAGGTTAATTAGTTCTCTGACAGCTGAAATTTACCTGTTCAGGCAACATCTGTTAAGTCAACATATGGTATTAGGAAAATATGCTTTTTAAAAACTAAAGTCAACATCAAATTTATATCAAAAGTCAAGTTATTGTTTTTGTGTCGATCATTGTTTATATGATGCCCAACTGATTACTATGGTTGCCTTTTATTACTAAGTCTGAAGGGATTAAATTCGGGATAAGGCAAAAGATGTCCGGCTGGCTCAAATATTTTTTGAAAGCCCTGTGTTATATTGGCTTCAGTAACACAAAATCATTATGTAAGTTTTCATTTTTTGTCATTTGTAGTACCATTCAAAACGCCTAAAATGTTCACCTTTGACAATATATTTTATTGGTCAATGGAGTCCTTTTTTGTTATCATCTTCCAAGTATAGATTCAAACTATCGCCAACTCAATCAAAATAGGGGATAGTTTTTGAAAAGGGCAATTAACAAAATTAGCACAATTACTTGCAGTGCAGGGGTTCAAATTAGTGGTGGTCTGAGGTCCGTGACCTTCCATTTACGGGTTAGGGCCTTCTCTCTGGTAGTTAGATACACCTGACAGACTTTCGTAGTTTTGTAGGTTACAATAATTACACAAGCATTTTGCATATATTTAATAATCAAACATAACTAGTAAACAGTATGAGTCTTTTTGGTTTCAGGGTGACCTCTTCCAAAAGAAAACCTAATGAAATGGGTGATACAGCAGGGTTGATTGATGAAATGCAGCCCGAAAGACAGGATCTGACTAAAGACCAAAAATATGATAGGAAAAGCGAAAACGTAATTTTTTGCCCCAATGGAAGGTTAAATGTTCTTGTCTGGATTTCAATGATTCAACTGCTTTATCCCACACACAGTGAAAGAGATAGTGCCCTAGTTCTTTGGACAAAAAACTCAAAACTTGACCCAATAAAAAATTATAAAACTACCTCCCAGCATCTATCTTGCCAAAAAACAGTGTTTAAAAGAAACTGACCCCAAGTTTGAAAACAAAGTTGAGCTGTTATCTGACACAAAGTTAGGCCAGTGTGTTCTTAAACAGCGATTGAAACCAGAAGGCAGAACAATAAAAAAATGTACAAAGTGTTATTTTTCACAGTGTATTGTGTTGAGATAAAGGAAAAGTCTTTTCTGACTGAATTTATTTGAGAAGTTCTGAAAAAAATGAGGTTGATGTAGTAAAATATGACGAGTGCTTTGGAATGGTAAGCATATTTTGTTTTTACAAATTGATTTTCAATTAAATTGGACCTGCTACAAGTAAAGGAGGACCTTTTAGTATTTTTGGTCAAAGGTCCTGGACCTTCCATTGCCTAAAGTAAATTTGAACCCCTGCAGTGTCATCAGATGTAGACATTTAAAACACATGCCTTATCTGCTAATAAAATATAATAACCCTCCACATTCTTTATGTGTCTGTCCCAATCAGCAGCCTGTAGTTCAGTGGTTGTTGTTGGTTCATGTCTGTCATATTTGTTTTTCGTAAATTGTTTTGTTAAAAATTAGGCTATTAATTTTCTCAACTGAATTGATCACATTTTTCACGTCGGGGCCTTTCATAGCTGACTTTACAGTATCGGTTTTTCTCATTGTTGAAGGCCATGTGGTTGCCTATTATTGCTTACATCCACTTCTTTGAACTTTGGTGGATAGTTGCAATTGTCTCATTGGCAATCATACCACATCTCCTTATTTTGATAACCCAACCATTTTGTGTGGCTTAACAAAGTCAGACTATTTAAACCAGGTGTTGCTTGTAGGTGTTTGTCTCGGGCTGTCTGTAATACTGTCAAAAAATTTTTATAATTCCTGTTATCCTTTTAATTTATACTTCTATAAAGGGGAAGCAAATCCTAATACTAAAAAGATGATGATCTCAATCAACTCTAACATACTGGCAGTGGTTACTTAAACATCTGAAACAATGTTCATTTTATGAGTCTTGCAACCTTTTAGGCACAACAGTAAAAATAAGTACCTGAAAGTCGATTTCTCCACTAAATTGTGTCACCATACTATTAGAGAGGACAGTTCCCTTCTCCATGTGGGTCATAGACACTCTTCCAATATCTGGCATGATGTGGTGTTCTAGTTTCTGTATTCTGTAATACAAATGTATATCAAATTTCTTCATATAATGAAATATTTGCCACTGGACATTAAGTAATCAACAACCAATCAATCTTTGTACAATGAAAGTAACAAGCACTCATATTGGCAACTTATTAGTTAACCTTTTTGGCATTAATATCCTTGTTTCATCTATTTAACTATTGTAAAGGAAAACAATAAATACTCATTTAATAGGTGAACTTGGAAGTTAATTGACAAAAATAAATTCTGTAGGTCAAGAATTCGCAGCAGTTATAGATTTGCTATACATCCACATATAGTACCTCAATCAAAATCAACAAACACTTACCTTCATCAGTATTTAAAAGGTTTTAATTTCAGTAAAAGTATCTTTCATGCTGAGAAGGGGTAATGCAAATATCAATCAATCGATCAGTAAAAGTATAAAGAGTTTTTTTTAGTAGGTACATTACTCACAGGTAACCCCCCAAAAAAATCTTTTTAACTTTTTCTTGATCATGAAAAAACATAATGCTTGTAGGATAAATAACTCTGATAAGTTCTGTCCTTTTGGATTCATGATATCCTGGGTTTTTTAATTGTTTTAGAAAACTTGGTCCTTGAATATTACAAAGAAAAACCAAAAAATCCAGTTCATTACAGGAGTAAGCATAATTCTAGATCTAAAAATCTAAAGACAATGCCCAAAACATTCATAACGATTTAAAGGAACTGAACTTTGTTATTAGCAACAACAATAATGAGCATTAGGATCCCTATATCCCAGTTTCTGTCATACAAGTGAGAGGTTTAGCTAGCTATAAAACCAGGTTTCATCCACCTTTAAGGAAATGCCTGTACCAAGTCAGGAATATGACAGTTGTTTTCAATTCCTTTGATGTGTTTGAGCTTTTGATTTTGCCATTTGTTAAGGGACTTTCTGTTTGAATTTTCCTTGGAGTTAGATATTTTTGTTATTTTACTTTATACACATGATACATATCAGGACCAAATTATGTAAATGACTATGATATGAATATGAATCCTGCTTTGACCCACATGCAGAGCCAGATTTGAAAAAGTTAGTTCACAAGATAAAGTTTTCCATGAAGATAAGTCACCCTACCAAGACAAACTAGATATAATTGAGATGGGAGCCATCTCTGTGGGCCCCGCTGTGAATAATGTGCGTTAAAAAATTGTATCTTTACCATAGGACCTGGGGTTGTCAACTGAAACCAAAGTTTTTGACCTTGACCTTTGACCTAGGAAGTTGTACATAAATTATGACACACCCTCTGGTGTTGGTTTATATACATGTCAAGTATAAACTTTGAAATCATAACGGTTCTCAAGATGATAGAGCGGACACTATCTTTACCATAGGACATGGGGTTGTCAACTGAAACCAAAGTTTTTGACCTTGACCTTTGACCTAGGAAGTTGTACATACATTATGACACACCCTCTGGTGTTGGTTAATATACATGTCAAGTATAAACTTTGAAATCATAATGGTTCACAGATATAGAGCGGACACCATCTTAACATAGGACATGGGGTTGTCAACTGAAACCAAAGTTTTTGACCTTGACCTTTGACCTAGGAAGTTGTACATACATTATGACACACCCTCTGGTGTTGGTTAATATACATGTCAAGTATAAAGTATGAAATCATAACGGTTCTCAAGATAAAGAGAGGCCAAGTTCTTTACCATAGGACATGGGGTTCTCAACTGAAACTAAAGTTTTTGACCTTGACCTTTGACCTAGGAATTTGTACATACATTATGACACAACCTCTGGTGTTGGTTAATATACATGTCAAGTATAAACTTTGAAATCATAACAGTTCTCTAGATATAGAGTGGACACAATTTGTTACGGACAGACGGACAGACAGACTGATCACTATAGGGCGTCCGCCATTTGGCGGGGCCCTAATTATTATGACTCCCAGCCAACCAGTCTTGAACTAACTTCTCAATGCCAGGAAGAAGCAGCAAATAACAACTGGGAATGGAACCCACATTCTCCGTCATCCAAGGTAAACACACTACCAAGAGACCCTGAAGTAGTTATCGTACATTTGAACCTTCTTACAATCTTCTTAAAGATGCCATATAAGTGACTTTTTGTTTGTAGGTGTTACTTATATGAAGACTTGAAAAGCAAAGAATGATAGAATAAATGAGAATATTTTAACAGTTATATATATGGAATTTATTGATTACTTCTGTACATAAACATTTCAAATGCATATATAGGCATTATCAATGAAAATGTACTACATTTGTACATCTATCTTTCTTCCCTAATCACATGCATTTTATTGTGCCATTTCAGATCAACTTACTTCAACATTTTAATAAGTTCTTTGACAGCATTCCCACATTCAGAATTTACATCTCTTTGATCCCTGTCTTCTCCTTCTGTTGGAAGCTCTACTTTCTCTACATTTGCTATCATTTCTTTTGCTTGATGGATATTTTCCTGTGATTGTATATCATGTATATTATCATATCAGTCACATCAATGGGCAAGAATACAGACATTCTCAATCAAAATATTGCATTATCAATAACTACATATATTGATTTTCTACTCTTTTTTTTTAAAGTGTACTTATTATCAAGTGATTTAAATGCATGTAAAATTATTTCAATTAGCCTTTTTTTTTTTTTTGCATCACTTGAAATTTATTGGAATTATAAATACCCTCCAATGAGCCTGTATCGCTCTTTCTCACCTATACAAAAACTTGAACGATAACTGCCCCTTGTCTGCAGGTACCAAATACCAAAAATTCATTTCATTAAGAGACCTGTCCAAACATTCTGACAATATTGTAGATAAATCATTATTCAAACAGCAACGTTTTACTCCTAAATGTGAGAAGTATTAATTACTAAAACAGAGATGTTTTATTCCTAAGTCTTCATTTCAAAACAAGTTTTTTAGTGCCTGTAACCAAGGACTTCAAAATAAAAAAAAATTACTGCCAGTATTCTGCAATATATTTCTATGTATGTGGAAAGTATTACATATAAGCATTTTCTTAAATTTTGCCCATTTCTCAAATACAATCAGCATTTAGGGCATCTTCCTAACTTTTTAAACTTTTTTTTATTATTATACATAAAGTAATATTATATTCTTACCTTCCAATTCCACATTCTTTTGAATTTAGTATCATTAAGGATAGTCTTAACATTATATTGCATCTCTTTTGTTGGAACCAGCCACATAGCTTTGACAAGTGGAAACCAATACTTTTCATCTCCTCTGAAACAAATGTAATTTACAACATTACCTTAATTTATCTTTTTTTTATAAATAAAAAAAGTTTCTTCTATAATGTTTAGGATGACTTATCAAAAAATTATCTTTGCATACAAAATGTATATCAACAATGTTCTAACAAAATGTGTTTTCTGTGTAAATTCACAACTTGCATTGGCTTGTAAATAAATCAAATAAAAATTAAAATTTGCAAATGAATTTCAATACATGACTGCACCCTGATATAGCAACAGACAATTGATTATAATACAATTATGTATGTAACACCAATTTTGATTGGATGTTGACTGCCATCAATTCAACGGTTGACAGTTGGAGTCATTGACAACAACGTTGCGCAATTGCATTGGACGTTTCCGGGATATCCAAAATGTTTAATTTTGAAAATTTTAAAAGTATTGTATTAGAATAGGAATAACAGTATTGTATTGAAGAGTCGCCACTGTCAATTTTGGATTTGACAGTCTCAAATATTGGTTTTACTGACTCAGCTACACGTCGCCAGTAAAACTGCATTTGCGACTGTGAAATCACAGTACTGTTATTCCTTAATTATCATAAAGAACTAAGTGAAAAGAAATTTAAAAACATTTGTTTAGCAAAAATCAATCCGTGGTTTGTTCAATGGTCGAGGTCAGAGTTTCCGCTATCTGTCGCCATTTCCGCATTTTGCGAAAAAATAAAAATTGTGGCGATTAAAATTTATTATTGGTGAAATAATTTGGCAAAATAAATTTAACAGTTCAACTTCGTCCATCTTTTTTACTTTTTTCGGGTTTCTCAGACTTTTTCCCTGATCAGACAATACTGGGAATTCACCTTGAACTTGTTACGATTTTGATGGAAAATAAATAACCAACTGATTGCATTTTATAGCTATTGGCAATAATGGATTATAATTAATCCAGGTGTTAATTGTATTGTTTAATGACATGGTGTGGTTGAATGGCATCACATGTAACTTAAAGGAATTTTTTACAGTTTTGATAGAAATAATTGTTTTGAAGTGGGTTATTTACAATATTGTTTTTAAAAGCGACGCTTGTGTTTGAGGCATAGTTTTACGTCAAAACTTTTTCTTTTAACGATGGTCCAGAAAAGAAAACTATTGTTAGGAAGAAAAATATTCAAAAGTAAGAAAAATCTATGACTTTAGTCTGTATCCTTCAACTAGACGGGAAGTATCCAATAAACTTATTGTAGATGAGTACTGTGTTCCCTAGCAGAAGTAAGAAATGATGATTTCATGATCTACATTGCAATTTTACAATTTCTTTTAAAGAGTAAATGTTTGTTATTGTTGAAAGTTTATTCATTACAATGCAGATCAAAAAATAGATATAAAGAATTATAATGTGACAAACTGATTTTTTTTTGTTAGAAAGAAGGAAAATTTTAAACGAAAAATATATGTAAGTTGGCGAAAAAAAAGTTGAAAGAGGCGAAAAAATATATTGTTTTGGCGAAAGAGGTGGCGAAAAAAAATTTGACCCAGGGGAAACCCTGGTCAAGGTCAATCACAATTCAGGAAAAATTGTGCTTTTTTTCTAGAAAAATGTATGCCATCAACCTCATTGGGGTATAACTGTGCACTAAATATAAATAAATAGCTAATTAGTGTCCACTTAAAATACAAGACTCTAAATATCTTCTATAGTTTTTGCGTTCTATGTTTAAAAGTGGAAAGATTTGTTTACTATACCAGGAAAATATGTATAAATTCTTACTTTGCTGGTTTGTACTTCTTATTCAGATCATAAATCATTCTAGATATCATTTTATCAAGCAGACTGGCATCTTCAATCTTTTCTAGAATTGTATTAACCGTTTCTATCCAGCATTCAAATATTTTATGATTTTTCTACAAATAAATATAATCAACATAAATAAATTAACCCTTGCTGTGCAGAAGCTAAACAGTAATTCATTATGATATGGTGTCAAATTAACGACTGTCCATAGACTGTACAACAACATGTGTCAAATCAAACAACATGATGTTTTGTATACAGTATATAATACCATTCATCTATTAACAACAAGACAATAAATTAAATTTTGCATTTATCAAATAAATGACATTTTCTTCTTCTGCTTTCTACAATGACTTTATTGTAATGATAATGAGTTGTACTTTAATATTGTATATTTTCATGTCACCCTTACCGGACACATTAATTTGACTCTAAGTCAACCAGTCTTTGCTCTTACTCCTTAATGATCTGTGCTTAGTGTAGAAGCAGCAAATACCAATTTTTAAAGTCTTTGGTTTGACCAGGCTGAAGTTCAAACCCACGACCTCCCACACTCAAAGCTACCACGCTACCACAAGACTACTGAGGTGGTTCATTATAATTATAAGGAACAGAGCAAAAACAATAACAATAAAAACCCCAACTTCATAAGCAAAACTTAATTAAGAAGCAATAGTAGAATTTAACAATATCATAGTTCAACCAGTTTCAATCATCAGGTATTATGATGTCTGTTTCTGCAATTTCCTGGAAATCTTGTCAACCCAAAGAGAAATTTTACAGATATTTTGACCTATCCCACTACAGTTTTCCTCAAATTATTAAGCATTTTCAGAAATCTGAGTATTTTGGTCTACAGGTGACCTAAATTATTTACAGCTATTCACCATCAGTCTTTGGTATCTTTCCATTACTACAATGTTATCTTCAGTCCAAAATGCATTTATAATTCATTTTTAAAAACAAAAGCTTATTTTTGCATTCTATAACAAGAATATTTGTTGAATAAGTGATTATTCTTTGACAACGCTATTTTTTTATTATCAATATGAGCCAGTGGATGACTTTTTCATGATGGTCATGTCCGAGAACTTGATAACTATTTGTATATGACTTTACCATAATATCTACAGTTGAGCAAAAAAAAAACCTCATAAGATGGTGTTAACTATTTATAGGTTTATATAGCTTAATGCAAGAATTGTGTATACATAAAACTTTACCTCAATAACCTTATCACCCAATTTCTCAAACAAAGATTTGAAACTCTCTAACACTGCATACATTTCTTTAGCTTTTTTAGACAAAGAAATATGTTTAAACAAAGTCATCAAGTCTGGCCATAAAGCTTCTATCTGGTCACTTCTAAAAAATAAAACACAATGATCATATTTATGCCGGCGTCAAAATTAAGATATTTTTTTTTTCTGTGGTTGTGACAACTTTGTGATAGCAAGTAACTTGAATAATTCAATCATTCAGAATTAGGGTGAGATTCACCTTTCTGTATAAAATTAAGCTGCCATAAATTGGCTCCCTCTCCCAAAAGGTGCCAATCAAAATCCATATTTTCTTTCACTTAAAGAATGTACTCCATATTATATTTAACATAAATGGAGAATATGTCTATGGGCCACAGATGCCCCCACTTGTAAATATGCATGAGTCAACTTCCACATACAGATGCAGGATTCACGAAGATAAGACTGTTTTGTGATTATAAGCATTGTGTATAAGTTTCATAACATTTGGTTGAGGCAAACTAAAGTTAGAGAACGGAAACAACAGATTTAGCAATTTTTCCATTTATAAAAGGGCATAACTCAATAACGGTTAAAGTGATGCCACCCAATTTCAAACTTGATCTGTGTTTTGTGGAAATAAGCATTGTGTATAAGTTTCATAACATTTGGTTGAGGTAAACTGAAGTTAGAGAACGGAAATGAAAAATTCAGCAATTTTTATGTTTATAAAGGCGCATAACTCATGAACAGTAAAAGTGACACCACCCAATTTCAAACTTTATCTGTGTTTTGTGATAATAAGCATTGTGTATAATTTCATAACATTTGGTTGAGGCAAACTAAAGTTAGAGAACGGAAACCAATTTAAGGGACGTACGGACGGGCCGGACAAGGGTAACACTTACTGCCCCCTCCGCTACAGCGAGGGCAGAAAAAGCAGAAAAAGACAAAACTTGCCATTTTCAATATTTTGATATGAGCATCAGTTCTTTTTAAAGCAGATATTTTGCTGAAAGATATATTTTTCAATTGCCTCCACTAGGGTGCTGAAAGTGGAGTTAAAACACCAACAATCAATTTATATTTTTCAGATAAATTCATCTGATTTAAATAGTTTTTGGCATAGAGTCTTTGTTCATATTTAATTCTGATCTAAAAAATATGCATTAAAATGAGCATTTTTGGTAAAATACATAATCTATGACATTAGTACATTTTTTTTTACATCACAGCGAAAAAGATAAATTACAGTGTCGAACTCTATTTAGAGTAAAATTTACATAATTTTGAAAGGATTTTCAGAGAATTTAGGGTGTATTGTGATTTTTAAGGACCAAATAGTGTCTCTTGCCATACTTCTTTCTATTAATTTAGATTTATATTGCTATATGCTTCACTGTTAATTCACACTCACTCCATACTGGTAAAATTGTCTACATATTTTTTGGCTTGTTTCAGTTGACTACCTCTTGGGAAGACAGGAGAAGTAATAAAAGTGGATATTTTCTTCATGTGTTGGCCAATAACCTTAAGGTCTGGATATCCCTACAAAGTAAAAATAATAGACTTTTTTTATAATCTTTAATATTTCACATATAATTGATATCATGCACATATTTAAAGCAAAATAAATGGAGAATGTGTCTATGGGCCACAGATGCCCCTGTTGTAAATATGCATGAGTCAATGTACTAATTATTGACATTTTCTTATCTTTTAAAGTAAATAAAGTTAGAAAACGGAAACAAAAAACTCAGCAATTTTTATATTTATAAAGGGGCATAACTCATGAACAGTAAAATGACGCCACTCAATTTCGAACTTGATCTGTGTTCTGTGGTAATAAGCATTGTGTATAAGTTTTATAACATTTGGTTGAGGCAAACTAAAGTTAGAGAACGGAAGCCAATTTTGGGGACATACGTGACGGATGGACGGGAAGGACAAGGGTAACACTTAATGCCCTCTTCGCCTAGTGGCGGGGGCATAAAAAATATGTGTTATTTTATCTGTAGCTTAACACTGGAAAAATAAATTCCTCATTCACCCAACATTCTTGACAAGGTGGTGTATAAGTTCCTGTTTTCTGTACTTTCTTTAAACTTCTTTTAGATTAGCTGATATTAAAGTATGTCTACAATTTATATAGTGTAGTATGCTTTTCTTTTTGCTAAAGCATATATTTATTTAAATTTGGTGTTGTAACACATTTAATATTTTAATACCTTAATCAGATGTTCACAAGATTTGTTGGTCAAATATCAGTAATTAACATTTTTGAATTTGTCTAACTTACACATGCTTTAGGGTTTCACATTTGTTCTATTTCACGCAAAACTGTACACAAATAAGTCATAAATAGATAAATACTGGACTTTTTCCAAACTTTTTTTTGTGTATCTGCCTTGTTATTATGCCTCGATTGATATCTGACCTAGGACTAAAGTCCTCTAGCAGATATCGAGATCTCTGAATAATAATAATAATCATAGATACAACGATTAAAATTTGTACACCAGAAGGGTGTTTCATCTACAAAAGACTCATCAGTGAAGCTTGAATAAAAAAAGTTTAAAAAGGTCAAATAAAGTACGAAGTTGAAGAGCATTGCAAACCAAAAATTCCATAAATCCATAATAACAGAGCAGATATGGAAAAAAGCATATCCATGTATTAATCTAGACCTTTCCATTCATACTCGTAGTAACTGAAGAAAGTGAAATAAACAAGAAAACTGAACATTGATCTATGAACAATAAACATGAGATCAAATTCATGCAGGTATTAAGCTGTAAAATGGACATGTTTACCACATAGTAAGTCTATGAACTAAATATAAATGACCTACTATTCATAACAACTGATAAACTGACATAAGCACTTAACCTTACGATAGATGATGGAACCATGAAAATGAGGCCAAGGTGGTTGGTTTTTTAAGTTTGAGAAATGTGTGGTGTTTAAATATCCCAGTTAGAAGCGCTGCTAAACAAATTAGTCCTACGTTTTCTTATGGACACATTTTCATATGACACAGTCACTTTATTTGATTTTTAAAAGAAAAGGGCATTTTTGGAGTTAATTTTTCAAAAATGTGTGAGTCATCCAAGGAATATGTAAGTTGAATATACTGTAATAATTTAAAATTATAAAATCATATAAGCAGAAATGGCAAAGTTCAAACTTTGGTATATGAAACATCAAAAATCACTCAAATAAAAAAAATAAAATAGCAGGTGCACAACTTCATGCATGTCCTGTAGAAAAATCTGTGTATGTTTGGTTAAATTCTGTCAAATGGTTTTCAAAGAGTTAGGATTAACAAAGTGTTACATGACAACAATACGGACACCAAACCCTTTTGTGTGGCTACCTACAGCTGCGCAATGTAAGACAACACAATAAAATTAGTATACAGAGTAACACTGTCTCACTTTATATGGATTTCTGTCATAGAGGTTAGAAAAGGTACTGGCACAACTATTCAGAGTTCCATGTAATTCATCTGGAACATCTCCTGTGTGAAGGAGGTAGAAAAGGTATAAATCCAGGAAAACATTCCATACTGCCAGGTCTCTAGAATCTTCTCTGCTTCTGTAAAACATCAATGCAATTAATAAAAGTATAAATTAAAGGTATATTGGAATGACATACACAATATCAAGTTCCTGAAATCTTACTATAAAAAGCAGGTATCAAGTATCAAACAAAAGCAGAGTTGCATGAGCAGATAAAGTATCATTACTTATGAAAATTTTACCTGTGGTGGTGGTTTAGATTTCAGTGAACATGGTTATTGTATATGATAAATTATTGTCAGGATTATGTTGCATCAGGTTGTTAAGAGCCTTTGTTTAATTTTTTCATTGGTGTAAGCATTTGATTTGGAGGTTTTGGCTGTGTCTGTGAAGGTTTTGTTGTTGGCGGAAAGTTGCCTCCATAAATTTAAGGTGGTGTTGTTAATGGAGCTCAAAGGTTGAAATTTGATCCCTGTAGACTTTATGGTTCCTTTAATAAACGTATTTTGACGGTTGCCAGTTTGTCATTGTGGTGGGATCTATGAATATTGTCTTTATTTGTATCTGCATTAACTTATTTTTTAAAATGTGATACGTGATTGGACATGCGTCTCTGTCTGTTTAGTTACAATTGAGGTCCTGCATCCTGTTGATACTTATATTTTGGCATTACAGGATTGTTTTTGGGCTGCATATAACATATTTGCATTTAATCAATTGGAGGTTAATGCTGATTGGTATTTTGGTCCTAGAGAACATGGTTTGTTTGTTGTTGAATTTGGGCTTAATGAACTGGCTAAAGATGACTGGGATACTCTTAAATCGAATCTTTAACTTCTTTATGGTTTTTGCAAACTTTTTGTGCTTCTAACTGATCTGATGAGTCAAGCCCTTTCAAATTGATTTGTACAATTTGTTCTTGTGTTATGTTGTTGCACCGCTGCCAAAGGCTTAGGGCAGAGGTTTTGATAGTTCAGTCTCACCTATAGCAATTTTTATTAACATGAGTCTAAAAAAATAATTTTTCTTGATCAATGCAATGAACATAGCATTACAGATTTTTATCAGTATCCGGATTGCATGTAATATCCTCAACGCTTAGACCATTATTCCTTTGAAGTTATGCTACAAGATTTAACAAATATGTTGACTCACTTTGCAAATGCATTAGGAATGCGCGGTATGTACGAGTTCAGCAGCCTTGTGTAACTTTTCATATCCATGTCTTCTTTAATATATTTCTGATCCTTCACAGCTAAGGCCATTTCTTTCAATTTTTCACCTTTCAAATTCTGTAATTTCAATAATGAGAATAATTATTTTCTACCTTATCATAACATCAAAATTTTTCCTGTAATGTTTAAAAAATTATGGGAAAGTGTGAAATTTCTTCAAATTATAGAAAGTTTTATCATTTTTATTAATCCACCAGGAAATTTGTTTAGGAAATAAAGAATTATGTGAAATATGAAATTGTTCAAGAATCTATACATGACTTGAAAAGCATGACTTAACAAGAGTGCATGTGTTGTTGTGCACTGACAGTAAACCCCCCACTCGTAATTCAAAATATTGAAAAAAAGACAGTACTAGCTATCTGACAGACCTGAAAAGCAACATAACAACTCATCAATGCAAAGCTGTTGACTAAATATAAAGTCATTCTGTTCAGATCTTTTCAAGAAAAAATTGACAAAAATATTTATATTCTATCAATATGATCAACAGATTGAAAAATTCGAACAGGAAGCAGTCTTAACAGATCGGAAAACATGCTCACGTGTTACAACTAATCACTGCCATGGTGCTAACTAAATATGAAGTCCTTCTGTTCAATAGTACATGAAAAAAGTGTGACAGAAATAATTGTTGCACAAAAGGACAGAAGAGGTGAATGCAATATAGACTCCAAATCCTAGAGTCAATAACAAACCTTCAGAAATTCCTTCATTTCAGCAGTTTTTTCTATCTTTTCCATAACTTCATAATGTGAGGTTCCAGGTCCAGCATGTATGACGGCTAAATAGAGATCAAACAAACAGTCATGACCATCTGACTGTGGTATTCTGCCATTTTCAATACTTTTTCTGAAAAAAAGACAAACAAAATTATTAAGTTCAACATTCAATATTTATTTTTATTTATCAACTAAGTTATAATTATTGAACAAGCAAATCGGCATATGTCATTTAATCTGCACGGCTCAGGTGACCCTACTTGACCGATCAACATAAGAGTTCGGGCTAAAGGGTCATCTGTTTTAACACATGACGCCATCAATTTACATGAACGTTTTGGAAATATGCGAATGATATTCAATCCAAAGCTCCAGGGAAAGTTTTTGTTTAGGGTAAGGAAATACGCCTTGAAGTAGTAAAAGGTTGGTAACTTTTAAATTATTAACTTTTTTGATATTCAGGCTTTCTCCTCATTTGTTACATTATTTGGAAAATTGCATTTTAATGGCAGATCTTTGATTGTTTCTGTTAAATTAATTCACAATTTTTTCCCTCAAGAATATACTCAAAGGAAGATTATTTGAAGAGAGATGTGCCTAAATTAATAGTGAAAAGTAAACAGAAAACAAGTTTTAATTTTTCACTATTAAACCTCCTCGCCCCATTTTATTTTATGGAATAACACCCCCTTTGAAAAATTCTGGATCCTTCCCTAAAGGTAAGAGTACATTTGAACTGTGCAGTATATCATAGGTAGTAAATGCACACCTAAGTTGTGCATTATCTAGACTAAAGCACGGTAGGAACAAGCCTGAATTGGGCATCTAGCAACAAATGCCTTTGAGATATAGAATTTCATTTTTGTAATCAGAACTATTAATGGAAATAATTATTTATTTTCAAAAATATAGCTTGTCAAACCTATTCTAATCAATTCAATTTTTTTCTTCTTAAGTGCTGGGATTATATTATCTATTCCCATAAAAATCAGGATAAAAGATATTTCCAAGCAAGCACCCAACATGTTATCACAATGGTAAAGACCCATGAAGTAATTTGAAAAATCAATTTGTCTGTTTATCAGTTTTGTTTTTGATAGTTTCTCTCTATGCATTATTGTTTTCAAGAAAATATCAAAAAATACTAATAGTGTATCAAGGGAAATAACTCTGATAATCAATCAATTGACAGTTTCTGTCATGGGACTGCATGCTGTATGTCTTGATGATCATTTTTAAGGGCAACATCTCCTATAAGGAGTCATCTTATAATACTGGTGACCATGAGTAGAAGGTAGATCTTAAATTCTGAGCACCACAACAGACAATGACAGATGTCAAGTGATGGCTATAGCTTTTGGTCAATTTGAGCTAAAAAGAGACAACAATAAATGACAGGTCTATAGATCGGAAATTTTAAAGCGGGTGGGGATTCTACAATAATGATAGGGGTCTAGAGTATTCAGTGCAAGATCCTACTTACAAACTCATTTATTCCAAAAAATTAATGATTTTTAAGGGGAGGTTTGTACTCCTTGATCCTCATCTTGGATAAAGGTGTTGATGAGGTTCACTATTTAGGACAGACATATAAACTCAGTTTTCATACTTTTGTCAAAGTGCAACATGTTAAAATTACCCTGTATGGACAGATAAGCGTTCTGTTGAAGATTACACATTATATCAGTATTTTGTTTTATATCCATGGAAACCCGAGATATCAATAATATTTAAAAAATAAAATAATGATACAATACTGCACCTTCTCTTAAAAATAAATTTGAATGGTTTGTGCCGAGTATCTTTTGAGAAGTTAGGAATATGGAGACCCTTTAACTTTAAATCATATAAAAAGTCTTGGCTATTACAAGTTACCCTCAAAATTAATTATTAAAATAAAAGTATATTGTGCAACACTACAAATCCTGTCAAAGATTACAAAACTACATAATGTTGTATGAAGACCATGACGTTGTGTCAAAATATTAAGAATTCAGTTTAAACTCCTACTGCCATGCTTCGATAAATGATAATAAATTTGACAAAAAAAGTGCATTTTTAGACAGACTAAGGATTTATGTAAAAAATGTCCATTGGGACTTAAACACAAAATATATGCTACTTGTAAAAAATCCTATTTCCTTTCCTTACTCTGTTATTCTACAGATACACTGGCAAGTACCTATGGCCATACATCTTCCTGTTGAATTTCTTGATACTTTCACAGCATATTCTGGTACACAAATCTTCTTGATGAAGACATTCATAATGTTCTTAAAGTCAGACAATATCAACTTTTCTGCCAGCTCATCTTTATTAAGGTTTTTGAGTTCTGCTTCAAAGGCTAATTTGGTATCATCAGTACAATTAACATAATCATACTTTTCTATCAATCTTTCCATTCTGAAAATTAAAAATGAAAATTTTTGGTTATTCATAAGTTTTCCCGGAATATGTTTTGAACTTTTTAATACATTTATTTTTTTACAGGTACATAAGGGGCCTCGGTGGATAAGTGGTCTTAGTAGTTCATCTACAATATCACTAGCCTGTCAGGTCACTTTCTTCTTGTCCTCCTGTAGTAATACCTATGCGTTTTGAACCTCAATTCTAAGGTAATGGTCATCTCTCTAATAACTGGTCAGTTTTCTCTTGCACTGCTTCTTCAGTAACATAAGTACAGTACTTCAGAGAAACATTTGAGAAATTATTGAGATAATCGAATATCACTTAAATTTTCTTAAGAATAAGAACCTTAATTTAAATTAAATAACCCCTAAAAAAGAAAACATGAATATTTGTTTTTCTACATTGCCTAATACTAAGTGTTTGATAAGAGTGGAATAGGTTTTACTATTTTAATTTGGCTCATATGTTACTAATTTGGTTATAAACACAGAAATTGTTTCTATGCTGCTTATATCTGTCTATTGATTTTTATACACACTAAAATACTAAAACATTTCAATAAACCTACAAATGAAAATATAATTAAAACTGATAGTGAATTTGATTTACCCTTTTTATTCTAGAATCATAACTCCATCTCATTCTATGATAATCTAATTTGGTATATAGGATACAGGTAAAATCTAAAGTGAAACTAAGCCTACCTTTAAAGTACAAATAAATCGATTTCATATAAAATTCTGTCATGAATGAAGAAGCATACCTGAGGATAACTTATTTGACTGTATAAAATTAGAAATAACAGTACTTCAAAATTTCATGATTAACTTACGGTTTTCTGACCTTTATCGATGATTTAAAAGCATCTATCTCCTTCAGTTATATGGTTAGTAAACAAAGTATCAGTACTTTACATCTAAAATTTATTTTGTTGCACCGAAATAAGAAGAAGAATTTTATTTCTAGTTTCCTCTAGCAAGTAAACTTTATCAATTAAAATTTTTTAACCAATAAAATCAAAGCTGCACCTTACTTTTCAATTTTTAGAAATTAATCTAAATCATCGTTGATAGTGTAAATGTCATCAGTTTAAATATATACTTAAAAGCTGTTTATTTTCTCTGAGTCAATATCAATTTCACTATTATTAGCTTAAAAAGTACACATTGGATAAGTTTTATGATAAGTGTATGGTTTGTTTCTCAAATGTTTCCGAAGAGGATTATGACAGACAAAAATAAAGATCAACAGCCTTACCAAACTTGGAAGAAAAAAGTTGATAAAAACCTTTGTATCTGTTTCTTTTTCTCATAGGATAGTCTTTAGATGGGCAAAAAGTACTTTCTACAAATGTAACTGCTGTCAAGAAACAATATTTACAACATTTAAAATGTTTAGACCAGCACTTCCTTTTTGTTTACACCGCGACAGTCAATATGACCAAAATAAAAAGTACTCAAGTTTAGGGTCTCCCTAGCCTCCTTTTTTTATGCCTCAAAATACCTACCGGTATCCATTCAATATACATGTGTGAAGCTGCATATTTGGGTTAAAAATTAAACAAAAGTTATTGGACCATTAAATCTGAACCAAGACATGGCTAAAATTCAAGGTGTATTATTAGTTCCAGGCATGTCCTTTAAAGCCCAACCAATTATACACGTTTATAATTTTGCTCTTTAACTGGAATTTGATTCCATATATTTTCAAGAAATCTACTACTTTTCAATAAATAAGGTTTGGAGCCTTGGATCTGTTCTTCGTATCACTCACAGAATATTTCTATATGAAGTTAATACATGTATAATGGTTTACATTTAAGATCCTTTAGCGTAAAAAAAAGGATAAAGGAAAAAATATTTAAAATATTTTCTTTCAAAAAATTATTCGTTAAGGTTAACAATTTCTTAAATTTTAAAGAAAAAAAATTGACCCCCACCCCAATCCCCCTCCCAATAATTTTTTTTAACCCCCCTACCCACTTTTTCCAAAAATAAATATTTGAGGATAAAATTGTCCCCCCAAAAAATTTATTTTACCCCTCCCCCTTTTTTCCAAAAAAAAAAATAACATTTGAAGAAAATTTTCTTTTTGTAAAATGTGGTACATTTTAAGAGACATCAATACACTTAAACACAAGTTATTGTCTGAAAACTAGAAAAATGCTTCTTTACGACCCTTTTTGGCCCCCAATTCCTGAACGGTTTGGGCAATTACCCCCAAAATGAATCCCAACCTTCTACTTGTGGTATTGAACCTTGTGGTAAAATTTCAGAGCAATCAAAATACTTTTACACAAGTTATTGTCCTGAAACTAGGAAAATGCTTGTTATGGCCCCTTTTGGACCCTAATTCCTAAAGGGTTGGGACCATCACCCCCAAAAACAATCCCAACCATCCTTTTGTGGTATTGAACCTTTTGTTTAATTTCATAGAGATCCATTCACTTAAACTTAAGTTATTGTCTGGAAACCAAATGTCTTCTGACGACGCTGATGCCGATGACAACGTGATACCAATATACAACCACAAAAAATTTGCGGTCGTACAAAAACAGATTGTGCGCAGTCTGCGCACCATCCAGAAAAAAAAATGTTCCGACCATACAACAAGAGGCTCTCAAGAGCCTAAATCGCTCACCTGTATTTCAGAGAAGATTCTTAAATGTTAGCAAACTTGATGAACAAATTGTGTAAAATTGTCTTTAAAGGGCAATAACTCCTTAAGGAGTCAATTGACAATTTTGGTCTTATTAACTTTTTTGTAGATCTTACTTTGCTGAACATTATTGCTGTTTACAGTTTATATCTATCTATAATAATATTCAAGATAACAAAAAACTGCAAAATTTCCTTAAAACTACCAATTTAGTGGCAGTAACCCAACAATGGGTTGTTCGATTTGTCTGATAATTTCAGGGCCGATAGATCTTGACCAATTGAACAATTTTACCCCATGTCAGATTTGCTCTAAAAGCTTTAGTTTTTGAGATATAAGCCAAAAACTGCATTTGACCCCTATGTTCTATTTTTAGCCATGGTGGCCATGTTTGTCGATGGATCAAAACTTCGGATACAATTTATAAACTAGATACCCTAAGGAACATTTATTTAAATTTGAAGGTATTTGGCCCAGTAGTTTCAGAGGAGAAAATTTTTGAAATAGTTTACGACGACAGACGACGGACGACGACGGACGCCAAGTGATGGCATAAGATCACATGGGGCCCTGGTGAGCTAAAAACCTGTTTATGCAAAGTTTTTCTGTTAATAACTTTGATCCACTCAAGTTTTGTTGGCTCGTCAGAAGGCATCAAATGAGACTTATATGGAATAATAAATTGCTTCGGTGAGCGCAGCTGGATACGACCGCAGAGGTCCAACCCTGAAAAGTTAGGCCAAAATGGACACAATATTCACGCTTGATACAGGTCTGAATTTGGATTGTAACTAAATTTTTGACACATAATAGGTTTCTGACACAGAATAACTGTAGTCAAAGAACTTCAAATTGGTCATATGATTTTAATTTATATTCAATTTATTGCTTTTGTGCAATACACTTTGCTGTTGCGAATTGAACCCCCTCCCCTACCAAAAAAAATTTATTTAACCACGGTTTTTTGCTTATGTGCAATAAACTATGCTGTTGAAAATTAACCCCCCAACAAAAATATTTGAAGAAATTTTCTTTTAATTTCTGAAATCTGAAATGAGAAAAATTGTCCCCCCCTCCAATTTTTTTCACCTCCCCCTTTCCCTTATTTCCCAAAAAAATTCTTTCCCTCAAGATATGGTCAGAATCTCAATTCAAATTTCTAATGCAGTTTGCAACCAAAATTACCCATTTAAATACATCATAAAAGTTTTAAAATATAAAATGACATACATAGTCATGGCTAAAATTAATATTAATTAATAGTAACTGCTAAAAATAAATTGACAGCTAATCACCTCAAGACAATCATCATTTCTTAATACATAATTTACAAGAAGTTTATGGGAGGTAATCAAACAGTGTTCTTTAATTTGAATTGGATTACCTCCCTTACACTGCTTTTAAATTGTCTCAATTGTCCTTTAACCAGAAAAACCCTTGTTTTTCCCCTTTTTTTGCCCCTAATTACTAAATGGTTTGAGCCATAACCCCCCAAAGTCAATCCTAACCATCCCTTTGTTGTATGGAAGTTTGTTGTATAATTTCAGAGAAATGCATACACTTTAACACAAGTTATTGTCTGGAAACTACAAAAATGCTTATTTGTGCCCCTTTTTTGGCCCCTAATTCCTAAACAGTTGGGACCATAACCCCCAAAATCAATCCCAACCTTCCTTTAGTGGTTATAAACCTTGTGTTAAAATTTTAGTATTCTATTTACTTATACTAAAGTTATTATCCGGAAACCATCTGTCTTCGGACGACGCTGACGACGACGATGCCGGACGACGACGACGTGATACCAATATACGACCAAAAATTTTTTAATTTTTGCGGTCGTATAAAAAATGTGCAACTTGTTGTGTAATTCACATATTGATTTTTTCCACATCTGAAGTTTTTTACGCTTATTTGTACAACTATTAACTGCACATGAAATGCCTCCACCTTTTTTATAACTTTCGGCAGTATCCATAGCAAATTAATAAGAAAATGAAAGAATAAACAAATGTTAACAGAAAATCAATAATGTTTTGATCAATACACGTGCGTTATTTTTCACAGTTGTAATGGCTGATCGGTCATGTGAGAGGTTAATGGATGCGCCCATGTTTTCTAGGTCAATTATAGATAAACCCGACTATATTTCATAGGAAAATCAAAACCCATTTATATATATATATATATTTCCCAGCTATAGCTATTTACACATGACAGATGATGAACATTTATAAACCAGTGACATATAGTCTTCAGTTGGCAAATGTCTAAAATTAGACCTCAGGCAGGTAACAAGCAAGGTTGATTCAGGTGCTAGAAATGGTTATAGACCCACACATAGAGATAACCGGCGTCAATATCAGAACAATGCCAGACACAATGAAAGTGCTGATATATTGAAACGCTGCCTCCCTGGTGCTAGAGTCGGCCACCAGAAATCACAGGGCCACACAGAACAAGAGAGTTAAAGGGTCTATAAAGTGTTAGGTTCGACGTCAAATGTTTACCGTCAGACTAGAACATGTTACAGAAAGGGAAATGTAATACTTGTGATTATATATATAGTCGGAGTTATGAAATAAAATATCTAAATAAATAAAGTTTCATATTTTATTAGCACTAAAACAAACATCGGCGGAGAGAATAGGTTTTGCAGGCTCTGTCACTGATCTGGTCGGGTTCCCCGGTAATGGTTGGTCTTACAGTAGACAAACAAACTTTTGATAATAACAAGCTACTAGTATATAATTCAACAGTTAAGTAACAAGGTTGTCACTTATTTAGAATCTTTCAATAATCCCAATTTAAGGATATTACTACCATTCCATATTATACAACATCAACTCAGCATAATAAAACCAACAACATATTAATTACTTTAGAACCGTCAATATAACAACCTTAGTACTGTCACCGACACATATACACTTAATTTGCACCGTCAAAAACTATATTTGCACCGGTACCATCAAAATAATTTATCGCCGTC